GCAGCTGTAGTGTTAATACAACTACATCTCATTAAAAAACACGCACTCCTAGATTTTGTCGTACTTTGCACAATGACAATAAAGATATTTTGATTCTGACGGAATTGGAAATTTTGACTGAGGAGTGTTTGTTTTATTTGGTACGATTTAAAAGAAAAAAAATGTCTCTAAATTGGATTTGTTTGCCGGGTGCTGCAGGGTTTCAAATTTGTACCCGATCAAATTTTAAATTGGAGCTAAAGCACTCCAGCGCTCGTACAAATGCTGGCAACAGAAGTGGGGCTTGGTGACCTCCCAGCGCCACATCACAGCAGGCAAACACAACATGAAGATTATCAATCATTCAGCTGATAAATCAATATTTAAAAATCATCTGTGATGCCGCCTGTGGGAGAGCTCCTTTTGTCTTTTTGCCTGCTGCTCTCCAGCAGTGCTGAGCGCAGCGGTGAGAGGAAGAAAGGAGGGTGAAGGTAGAGTGGGACTTCATCGTCAGACCCTGAAGTTTTTTATAGTTTTTAACAAACAGGGAACCTCACCTCTAATTGGCTGCTTTTTCTCTTTAGATTCAACCTACTGTCTTTATTAATACTGAGCACTTTGATTTAATTGTCGAAGCTTTTTAAGTTTGATTTTTGCTCCTCTGCTTTTGTTCAATCTTGTCGTAATTTTTTCATTTCATTTGTTTTAAAAGGTGTCAGTACATCTTCACATAAACTATTGAGGTATGTGTGACTGCCTCTGTTTAATGTGCTGAAAGGTTTTTGTAAATAAAACCAAAATCAATCATTTTGATCTATTTTAGAAAATGAAAGTTAATGCTGCAGTTTTTATTTGCAGTTTAAAACGATCTCACTGATCATGAAAGTGAACAGAAATCAGCACATTAATGGCATCAGATATGACAGATGTTTAGATATTTAGGACAAGTCATATCATATCTCTTAAATTTACCTTTGAGGATGGATTAAGTTCTTCTTATCTTATCTTATGTTGTACCTTATATAGTTAAAACACAAAGTTTAAAAATGACAATAAGATCAGATATATGGCTTTGGCACAATGTAATCATTTATAATAGTGTGGAGTATTTGTAATTTTCAACAGAATACCTGAGATTAACATATGCTCACCCATTTAAAACAACAGTCTTTTTTTTGTAAAATTATTCATTTAGTTAAAATCTAAATGGACTCAATTCATCCTGAAAACAAAGGCGAACTAATAATTTTTAAAAGTTTAATGCATGTTAATCTTTCCAGCTCTCTAAATTAAGAATTGAATCATAAAGGGAATAAAAATAAAAGTTTCTGAGCTGTTCTTATCTACCAAAGATTTTTATTTTATTCAGATTATATTTTAGGGTAAGTTTCTGGTGTGTTACAGGAGTTTGTAACAAGATTAAAAAGAGTCTCTGTAAAGATCTGTTTTAAAGCTCATTTTTTTTAAAGTACCCAGGGTGATTTTTAGAAAAACATCCGACTTTCAAAAACTGATGGTTGAGGACTGAAGCGTCTCTTCATTTACAGAGGTTCTGCTTCAGCTGCAGGCTGTTTTTAACAGCTATTCAATGTCAAAGTGTTTGCTGCCGTGAGGCCTGCTGACTCTTTTTTAGTCTGGCGTTTGCTTTCGCGGCATTAAAGTGATTTAAGTGTTGTGACTTTGAACATTTCTCCAAAGAAGGGGCAGGTGTTTCTGCACTAGTTCTCTGGTTGTAGTTTTATAAAGTAGTGTTAGCGAGTGTCACTAACCGGGGCTCGGGATGTGACGCTTTGCACAGTTAACGCTCCAGCTTGCAAGCCTCTGGCTACAGCCTGACATCTGAGCTGCAAATCTGTGCGTCTATGCGTGTGTGTGTTTGTGTGTGAGTGTGTGTGTGTGATAGAGCTGTAAAGCCACCGTTTGACAATGCTCCTTCAGCAGGCCGCCCTGCAGTCGCTCCCGGCTACAGAAGCCAGCTGGGCAACGCAGAGACAGGGACGATGAGAAGGAGAGGAAGATGAAGGAGGAGAGAGGACGACTGATCAGCGCCATCCAGAGGTGAGTACACGAGCATGAGAAAGAGAGGAGAGAAAGAACGAACCGTGGACGTGTGGACTGTGATTCCCCCAAATATGCAGAGAACTCAAAATGAAACTTTTTAAGCGGTACATCATCACCGCTAACTTTTTTCAGCAGGTGCTCAGAGATGTACAAGTTCAACCGCCTGTAAAAGCGTGTCGCACCACTCTGCAATTTCTGTTACACATTCAAGCCTTTCTACAAGAAGGAGAAAAGTGTGGGCTGCTGCTGAAGGGAAAATACAAATGACTGACAGTAAAAGCCGAGCACATGTGATAACTACAAATGTATTAGTGTAATGGAAAAGCTTTTGAAGCACATCAATCAAAGGTTTGTAGCCTGTCCACCCCACAAAAGGCCGTCTTTAAAGTCTTCATCCACATCCTGTTCTGTCATCCTCCCTCTATCCTCCAGTACATCATATCACACACGGCTTTAACTCACTGTTCACACAAACAGGCGCACAAACGTACATACATACACACACACAGATGAGACAAATTAAAACTGCCCTGTTCAACTGGTCGGCCGCTGCCAGCTTCATTTGCAAATGAAAAGTTTATGCGACGAGCATCCTTTTGCTTCTGGGGCATGGCAGCACACTGTGTGTTTGAGGGGTGGGGGGTGAGAAGAAGGTTTGACAGAGGGTGTGTGTGTGTGTGTGTGTGTGTGTGTGTGTGTTGTGTGTGGCAGGAGCCCAGATGAAGCAGCCCTCGCCCGGGGCTTGCTGTCCGCCCGCGGTAGCAGCAAGCCTGTTCCTTCTTCCCCGGCCCGCCGCGACCATTTGTTCCATTAACCAATCTCCTGGAGCCTCTGGTGCACACACACACACACACACACACACACATATACACACGCACACATAAACACACACACACACACATCCACAGGCATACATACTTCAACAACTGCTTGCACAGCTCATACCACACATGGCCCTCCATCCCTCCTCCATCCTTCACTCCATCCCTCCCTCCCTTCTCCAGACGCACGCACCATCTTTCTTGGTGGAGGCCATATGGCCCAGTGAAGCCTGTGGATCTACAGGCACATCTGCGTATATGTTGCTGCTCGCCTTAAAGGACTGCACAGTGAGCTGGGAGCTCACAGAAACACTCACACACACACACACACAGTACACGCACACGCACACCCAGGGCTGAGAAACACACTCTGCTGTCACTGTGTGTGGTTAAGCAAACGTTGGTGTTATGTCAGTCTGTCGTGTGTCTCAGTGTGAGTCTTAAAATGTGTGTGTGTGTGTGTGTGTGTGTGTGTGTGTGTGTGTGTGTGTGTGTGTGTGTGTGTGTGTGTGTGTGTGTGTGTGACCTCAGTACATACTTGCATAGTGATAATTGGTGAAACAGCCTGCGAGCAGCTGTGAGGTGAAAAAAGGTTGCGATGTGTTTGGTACAGAATGCAGAGGGGGACAGAGGACAGGAGAACGAGAGGAGGAGAGACGGAAAATAAGAGAAGCACACAGAGAAAAGTGGAAAAAAGTTGAAGAAAAAAAAGAGGAGGGGAGATGAGCGGAGGACAAATTCAGGAAAAGAATATCGAAAGAGTGAACAGAAAATAAACTTTCTCTCCACAGAGTTTCCACAACATCGATCGATCAGGAAAAGAATCTGTTCATCACTATGAATAGATGTCTGATGATTTTCTAGGATTTACATACAAAAGGACATTTATGGTTTATTTTTATTTTTTAGATCAGCCTTAAGTAAAAAATTCACTTTCAATAAACAGTAGTGTGAAGTCTTATCACGCACTCCTCTGTCCTTATCACAAAGGCAAATATACGAGATACACTTCCCAAAACTGAAGCTGATTTTAAATGTCCGATTCGAAAAGACACAACCCTCCAATCATTCATCTTCAGATGGTTTCACTCTTTTTTCACTTCTTTGACATGTTTCTATCCTAAATGCTTTTCATTTCTGTTGTGAAAATCTCAATCCTCTCAAATAGGTCACACAATTTTAGTAAACAGCTTTCAATCGTACTCTTAAAATTTCCACACATTCTTGTCTCTCTCCTGTGTTAATGTGTTCACTTACATAAAAATCTACAACACAGTCCTCATTGAGACACAAGCTGTCATCTATTGAAACCACAACAAGCTCAAAGAGAAACATTATCACTGTTTTTACTCTTATTCCGATTCCTCAGAACAGGCACCAGATAAAAACACACACAGTGAAATCAAATACTGGAAAATAAAGTTGTGGATGTCTCGAATCTATTACTCTCAATTTCAGTTAAACTCTATCACATGAAATATGCATTCAACTTTAAAACCAGATGAAGTTTCCTTTTCTTGATTAAAACGCACAAATAACACTCCAATTAATCATTTACAGCACCCGGCTTTGCATCCTCCCTAACTCAGTCCCCCTTCCCTCCGTTTTCTTCCGTCGTTTCCAGGCAAAAAAAAACAAAAAAAACCCCACAACAACACAGACATAGTGAAATAAATAATTAAGTGTTGAAGCAAAACATTGTGTGCTAAAACCCCTGTGTAGTTTGGCAATCAGCTTGCCCATGTAAAAATAAATCAAGCTGATTTTCCAAATGTTTTGTGCGTGGTGCGCTGTTGCCGCTCTTCGCAGCACAGATTGCAGGCCGATGGAGAGGCTGTGGGGAGGGGCGGGGCGCTGGATATTGAACCCACTTGCACCAGCTTGTTAACACGTACACCTTAACCCCCGAGCGGCGCGGCAGGGCGCCCACTGAGTGCTCGGGGCCTGCAGGGACCAAGTAACATATACCCAATGTATGGAAACAGACATACACACACTGAGGATTACAAGAACATGCGTGTGATTCGGTTTGAGAAGAGTACCATATGTAGAGGGACTGACATGGCCCCTTATTCGCGAATATGCACATATGATAAACATAACTGCGTACACGCACACACACAAATAGAGATCTACAAAGTTCAGCCCTGCCTCGACAGATTAATTCAGACATCACATACTACGACACATGGCTGAAATACTGTAGATCCATTTTTTTAATTGTTTAAGCTAAAACTGCCGTGATAAGAATATGTCTGTGGCAGGGTTTCAAGTTTTCTACTCATGCCCCTGGAGTACGATCAGAACCATATATATATATATATATATACATATACAGAGAAACCGAGCACCAGCTGCAATGTGGATCACCATCAACATGAGTCACACCTCGCTCTGCCCCTCATATCCTCCATATCGCTAAGCTCTGCCTCTTTATAAGAAATAACCTTCACACGACACACAAAATCCAAAAATACCTGTACTCACTGCTCAGAAGAACAGATTCTTAAACAGAGCCGCTTTCTTTCTTTCTTTCTTTCTAAAGAGTCACACAGACGAAAATTTAATACAAAAATGTGGTCAAGCGGCTCAACAGTTATTCAAAAGTGACCTCATGTAGAACTGAACTCTGGAGATTTTTAAATACCAGGAGGATTCATCAACCAAGTAAGTGTCAAAGCAGAAAATAAAACTCACTAAATGCCAAGAGTGATTATCGTGGTTCAGTTGGGAGAAGAGAGAAGTTAGATGCCAACTTCCCAGCCAATCCACTTTTGGCAGCCGGATTCCTACTCTGCTAAACCTCCTGAGAACAAGCAATAGCTACCCATACACAAACACACACACATGTACACACACACATAAAAATACCACTGGAACATATGCACAGAAACATACAGAATAATTAAACTATCTGCACTTTATGACAACTTATATTATTCTCTTTCTACGTAAACACACAAAGAGACTCGCACGAGCAGCAGACAGCTGTGACTCGGTAAACTTTGTTTTTTGGCACACTCTGACTGCCGACAGGTTAACACCGGTGGGTGGCAGACAATATGTAGTGTCAGTGATGAGGCAGGAGAAAAGGGGTGAGCGAGTGTGCGTGTCTCGGGTTTTATGTAAGAGGAAGGTAGAGTAGGGAGGGCAGTGGGGTGGAGATCCTGCAGAGTGGGGCGACAACTCCTACGCACTCTCGCCCACGTCGGCACAGCTAGGCTGTATGCCAGGCGCCCTGTGGAGACGCGCACCAACTGGGCTCTACACTTAGGGAGGAAGAGACCCCCGAATTTTACACACACCATGCATACAGATACTGTGACTTAAGACCAAGATGGACCCGTGGATTTTATGAGTAAATGAGAGCATCTAAATCCACTTTTATTCCAAAGAGATCTTATTTATATCTGATCATGTGAAAATTTTGCTCTCAAATATTCTGATTTAGATCTTTGTTTAAGAACAAGTGATTTACAGCAAAGTAATGTTAATGTGAGGGAGTACAAGAGGACCTTCTTCTGCAGCTCAGCTCAAAGATCTATAATCAAGTTTTTACCAAAGTACAGATTAATGGGACTGAAAAAAGACTTTCTGTCTTTGTTTATTCCTTTCTTCCTCCTATCTTTCCTTCTTTCTCCTATCTTTCTTTCTTTCTTTCTTTCTCCTAAATTGCTTTTTTTCTTTCTCCTATCTTTCTTCCTTTCTTTATTCATTTTTATTCCTTTTTTCCTCTTTTTTTCTTTCTTTCTTTCTTTCTGTCTCCTATCTTCCCTACTTTCTCCTAGCTATCTTTCTTTCTCTTTCTTCCTTTTTTCTTTCATACTTTCTTTATTCCTTTCGTCTTTCTCCTATCTTTCTTTCTTTATTACTTTCTTTCTTTCTTTCTTTCCTTCTTTCTAATTCCTTTCTTTCTTTCCTTCTCTCCAATTCCTTTCTTTCTTTCTTTCTATTTTTCTTTCTTTCTTTCATACTTTCTTTATTCCTTTCTTCTTTCTCCTATCTTTCTTTCTTTATTACTTTCTTTCTGTCTTTCCTTCTTTCTAATTCCTTTCTTTCTTTCTTTCTCACTTTCTTTCTTTATTCCTCCTTCTTTCTAATTCCTTTCTTTCTTTCTTTCTTTCTTTCTTTCTTTCTTTCTGTCTCTCCAATTCCTTTCTTTCTTTTTTCTTTCTTTCTCTCTTTCTTTATTCCTCCTTCTTTCTTTCTTTCTTTCTGTCTTTCCTTCTTTCTAATTCCTTTCTTTCTTTCTTTCCTTCTCTCCAATTCCTTTCTTTCTTTTTTCTTTCTTTCTCTCTTTCTTTCTTTATTCCTCCTTCTTTCTTTCTTTCTTTCTTTCTTTCTTTCAGTTAAGTGGATTATTAAGCGGTAACTGATTCTGGATTCCAGATTTAAAATCCATTTTATTGCAACTTTCATAATACACCCCAGAAAACTTTTGATCCAAATACTATTCTCTTCAGATTCAACACCATTTTCGGTAGTAAGTCCTCTAAACATCATTACAAATAAAATATAAAGGTGGATGACCAGTTTTTAGTGCAATAAATTCATTTTTAGTGTTTTGTTTTTGATTAAATTTGAAATTAAGCCTTATACAAAAAAACAAAACAAAAAAAAAAACGTTTACAACACACAAAGAGCAGCAGGATAAACTGTAGATTGTTCGAAAGATTGTGAATTCAACTGTACTTAATGTGACAAAATTCACACCTTGATGAACCACCATCAGAAAAATATCCAATATGTTTGAATTTAAGCTAAAAGTTTGGAGGTAAGAGGCAAAATTGTTCAAAAAGTACTGAATTTGATTGAATTATTTGTTTGAATCATGTGACATATCATTTGTAATTGAAACATTTCCTCAGGTAGCATGAAGTTACCATGTGAACTGTGTATGTGTGGTTGAGTGTATTGCGTGTATCCTCGTACCTGTTCTTCATGCGTTGGTGCATGCGGCCATGCTGGACACACTGTTCCTCCATGTCGGAGCAGCGGGCTCTCAGACTCCTCACCGTCTCCTCTAGGTGCTGCTTCTCCAGGACCAGCTGCTCTATCTCACTTCTGCATTTAAACACACAGAAACACATCAGCCCAGTTCAACAGATTTAACTGTTCAAGGTAGAATACCAGTTTACCCCAAAACCGAGTCAGGACATTAAAAAACTAAATTATACAACATATGGTGGGTTTAACACGATAGAACAGACATCACAACTTTTTTCACAATATAAAGATGGAATAATGCGGAGAAGTGACACCAAAAACAAATTCCATGACGAAAATACAGATGAAAATAAGTGAATGTGATCAACGTCCATAAAATCTTTTACACTTTTCCCAAATTTAAGGATGAGTTTTTTGCAGTAAGCTAATTTGCGACACGAGCAAAGGTGATGAGTAGAAAACCAAACAAGAAATGACTCGTTTTTCAAACAGCAGAAACTGCAGGAGGTCTTTTCACACCATAAACACAGCCAGAATAGACAGGCACTGGGTGAAATTCTGCAAACAATCACAGACTGTCCTGATTCACTTTGTCTGTACTGATATTTGTGACACCATCAGTAAGAGGCGGCCGCAACGGAGAACTCTCTGACCAACAACTGCAAAAATGTTTGGAGCTCACTTTCCTCATTTATCTGAGTGTAACCTCACTTAGCCTGACTGAGGCGTCCAGCAGGACTTTAACCGCTACACTGGGCTTAGACTCCAGGAGCTCAAACAGCTCAAGGCACGAAATACACCAACACCACACGGCTGCTAAATTACATGACACACACACACAGGGGCAGCAGATGAGGGGCACAAGCTTACTGCCAGTGTGTCCAAATGTTAGAGCGATATTTCTGCACATGATTTATACAGTATTTAATGTTGTTGTCTGTTTTTCTGAACATTAAGAGGGTACCTCAGTGTGTGTGTGTGTTTATGTGTACATGTACTGTGTGGAAAGTGAGGCCAGTGCGGTCTGGAAGGGCCAGATTGGGGGCTGTCATGTGACTAATGTGCAGCACAGCTACAACAGCTGACAGGACACTGGGCCCAGGGTCACTGTCACACACATATGACACACAAATTAAAGTACACAAACACACACACATAGGCAGCCCAGATGGAGAGCTGTGCAGGCCTGCTGTGACTACTGTAGCATCAGGTTAACAAGAAAACAGGTCAGGCAGCGTGTTGTATGTTGACATGTTCTGTCCAAACAGTCAGACGGATGACAAAATGACACGGACGTCCAAAAAGACAGAGAGAGTAAATACCTGACAGAGGGGTGAATACCTGAGTGGTTCGGCAAAAAAATGAAGAAAGTCGCTGTCAGTTTATCTTAACCCACCATGTGAGTTTCATAAAAAAAAGCTATGAAGGAAACAATGAGACGTGAGTGAGCGACAACCCCATGTACAGAAAATCAGAAAATACCGACCTGCTGTTTTCTGTTACTTCCTCCAGTCGGACCCCGAGCGTGCAGCACTCCTCCTTTAGCTTCCTGATCAGGGAATTGTGGGAACTCAGCAGACTGTCCAGCTCTTCAACTGCAAATAGTCGAGGGAAAGTTGTGGGTCAATGTGAAGTTTAGCATTCAGATTGTTTTCTATTCACTTCTTAATGGATACATGAAGCACAAAAAACACTGAAGTCCAGATATCATCAAACTCAGAGAGAGAGTTGTTAAAATGAGAGCCTTAGAGCATTTCATGAAAATGTACTTCAATATAGATTTCTCAAACAAAGAGATACTTAATCTTTTGGCACATCAGCACCACATTATCATAAGTATAATAATGATTTTATTATGACTTTATCCTTGTAAGTAATTGCTTTATTACAACTTTATTCTCGTTATTAATGACTCTATTCTTGTAAGTTAATGACTTTAATCTCGAAGTCTTAATTTTTTTTTCTTAATGCGGCCCTAAAACTCCATTGTAGATTCAAGGTTTTAACATCAGTAAAAACTTAAAGTTTCCTTTGGTTCCAACTCCAGCAGTACTTACTCTTGACATTTCCATTTTTTCCTCATTTAACCTCTTGAAAAAGCAGGTTTCATGTACTTTATATAGTATTTTAGAAGTATACACACTGTCTCTGCTTCTTATCTCTGTTAAACTCTCACCCTGTCTTTAATCCTAGCTGAACAAACCCTGTCTAAACATCTTTAATTCACTTCAGTAAAACTTGATCTAAAACTGTGGGGGCAGCTGTTCCCAGAGCTCCTCCTACACATGCTAAAATTAACTTTTCTAAGTGAAGAAAGAAATCTCAGTTTAAAAGGCAATGATGTAATCGTTTATTTAACCCACAGTTTGATAAAAGCAAGTTTTGAAACGCAGTAAAAGTGTAAAGGTGTTTCATCATGGGCTGTATGAGAAGATGGACGATCCAACTGCTCCCCAACAGTGAGGCCAAAGGATTTAAGAGCCCCCTGTGGTGACTGATTGCAGTACAGTTCACAGATGAAGGGATGAGAGTTGGATGGAGGAGGAATAGAAAATATATTAACACAAGAGTGAACTTTCAAAAGCTATGAGTGTCTGCTTCAGTTCCACACAGGAACATTTTTAACCCGGGGACCTTTGCTGTTTTATCAGTGAGTTAAACGTGTGCTTTGAAGGAGGAGGGGGCATGCCAACAGCCCTGCAGCTTTCAGATTTCAAAATACATCACAAAATTTTAGACCCCTCTTGGAGGAAGTATTTTGGCCTCACTTTTTAACCACTGGAGATGAGGCACACCAACAGTATTTTCAAAGAGTCAACGGTGATGACAAAGAAGAAAAGTGAAAATCTGAACTCAAAGAGCCTGAGGTGCATTATCAAACACGACAGCAGTACATGCTGTGTGTAAATATGAACATGTCTGCAACATTCAGATTCTAACTGCAAAGAAACAACAAACTGAAAGCAGATTTATAAACGCTGGGAGAGAGAGTATTGTTGACTGACTCGTCCAGAGTCTCAGTGCAGAAAAACAAAATAGCTTTTTTCTTGTTATTTGTTCAACGAGAGATAAGATGATGGATTATAAAGCAGATCCATTTCAGGCTTTTGTGGTCCAAGAGATGATTTAAAGGACTTATTAGGAGCAAGAAATAATAGAAACCATCATCTCTACATCTACAAATATAGATAATACATTTCTAAGAGCATGACAAGCAGAAACCTCACAGACCAGCGGAAAACATCTTTACTACAGTTAAAACCAAGCAATCAGATTTAGAGTAAGAATACGGCTGAAGACAAAAAGATGTGAGACACATATGTCTTAATGAATGTCTTTCCAAAAATGCTTTTGTCAACAGACATTCGCATCGAAATCAAAAGTGTTCAAACAGCAGGCGGAAATGTACAGAGAAAAAAAAAAAAACCTAAGAACGGAGAAAGAATAGAAATATGAAGTGTGTGAGAGAGTGGTAAAATGAGATGGAGGAAAAAGAGGGGGATTGTTGTTTGAAAAAATCGCTTTCTTTCTCCTTTTCCACCCTTCCTGCCACGTCCTCATCCGCTCATGGGGGGCTCTTTCTGAACAATCCAACACTGGGCTTTCATCATTCCTTTGAAATGATCCACGTTCCTCTCTCCAACATATGTCTACTCTTTTAAAATAACAATGGCTGCCGTTTGGATGTAGGGAATGATCCACCTGCTCCAGCATTCTGTTACAGTCAACCGAAACCAAAAAAACAACAAGGACTCGCAGTCTTTGAAAAGTAGCTCAGACTTGTGAAGAGTTTTTTGCATACAGTAGATATTGGGGTTTAGAGAGGGATTATTAAAAGAAGATATAGTAGATATCGAATACAATGTTTAATGGCAGATATTTGACTCTCCTCTTTAATTGTCTTTAGACACGGCTAAAACATGGAGAAACACATCACAAGTAGGAAAGGTGTAAAGGTCAATGCTCGCTGTAATTCCCAGCTTCAGGAGCAAAATTATTCACAGTATGCTGGCAGCACTTTGTCTCTCTTTAGTAAGTCATCATTAACCTTTGTTATCCCAGTCTATAAAGCCTCTGTGCCCAGATTACTGCACATATGTAATGCATGGGGGGCAGAAACTGGATGCTACAGAGTGTGAAAGTAAACAACACAAACTCACAGGCGTGCACACACGCGCACACTCAACAAAGTTTGGTCAGTGCTGGAAAAGTTGCATGAAGAATGCTAATTAGCTGAACAGGCTTTGAATGCGTCTGGCCGTGCGTAGGCCAAAAAGAACCCTGGGACACAGAAACACAGCAGAACTGGCACTGGAAACAAACAGAGAAAAAAACGAGGGAGGGGAGGGATGGAGAGAAGAAGCGTGGCAGGGAGGGAGGGACAGAGAGAAGCAAATATCTGATATCATCTAGAGGCTGCTCTGTACGCGTTTACTCAAAAAAGAAACATGAAAAAAACTCCGAAAAAAAAAAAAAAGGTGGGAGGGAGCAGAGAAGAAGGGAGAGGGGGGACGGATGGATGGAAGGACAAACGGATGGACATAGAGGCGGGATTTGGAGAGCAAGAAAGCTAATTATCCAGCTCGTCTGTTGGGTTGCACGGGGAGAGGAAGTGATGCGAGCTACTAAAGGACGTCCACCCCTCCATCCCCTCCCCATCCACAGTTTCCTGCTGTGCTCTGATGTCAGCTCTCTTTAGACAACATGTGTGCTTCCGACACGCGCCAGAAACAAACCCTTTGTTTACCCCCCCCACACAACCCCCCACCCTCCTCCTCTCCCTCCATCCATTCCTCCCTCTATACCCTCCATCTTTGTTGTGTGTACCAGCAGGCTCCCTGGTTGTTGAGGGGAACCACAGGTAAATAAAAAGATAGGAGAAGGGAGGGTGGTGGAGGGGAGGTGGGTGGTGGGTGTGAGGGGGGGATCCAGATGGTGCAACAGATGTGCTAGCAGCAGCAGCTCTGCTGTGCAGACAGACAGGGAGCTCTGAGCGGGGTCTCTCCGCTCTGCCTCCCATCACCTCCCCTCTGCTCTGCCCTGCTATCCTCTCGTCTCCTCTTCCTGCTCCTGTTTAATGCGTTTTGCTCTGCTCTGCTCTTGGAGGTCACTCCGGCTCGCTCTTGTTCGTCTAAAGTGATTTGTGTTCTGTCCATTACCTCCTACTCAGGCTATAAACTGTTGACAGGCAGGAAAGGTGGCGCAGTGAGAACGAAAGCCAGAGGATACCAGTTCAGGACCCAGATCCTACAGAGTTCCACCCTGCTGAAGTGTCCTTGAGGAAAACAATCAAAAGACTTCGAGCTTCTGTTAAGTTCTATCAAGATGTCCCTCAATCTGACTCTGTACAGTTCAGTTCTAGGATTTTTCCTGTTGTTCTTTCTGCCGCTTTTTGATCTAGCTGAGGGTCAGTGGCAACCAGACGCTGAAAAGGAGCATCTTTACGGGGTCAAATTAAAGAAGAGAGTATTCAGATGAAGTCATGATACTGCCTCTAAAATTAATAGAGTTTTTTAAGTTATTGGTTTTCCGTTATTAGAAAAAAAATGTCTTTCCTTGTTTGTTGTATATCATTTCCCCGTCTAAAGACAATCTGTGTAGCAGGAGAAGGACTGCTATGAAGTGTCTCCTGCAAATACACAACATTCGTACAAATAAAAAAAAAAAAGATATCTGAAAGACAGCTTGAGGCACATTCAGGCTGAAAAACTCTGGTATCCAACTGATCAAAAAGCAGCAACAAACCTGTACTTAATAATCTTGGTAAACAAAAAATTGGCAAAATATCTCGAAACTAAGTGAGAACAGTGAAGGACAGGCTGCTAGAAAACAATCTACCTCTGAAACACCCAGAGATTGTTTCAGCAGCAGGAAGATTTATGGTGAATCGTGGAAAAATCGAAACGAGTGAAGTGGACCTGCAGGTGATCTTTGGTCACACAAGACTTTTCCTTTGTGAGCAAAGATAGACGACGCAAACGTCAGAGATCTATGAGCACGATAAGGGGAGGTTCGACCAGAGTGGACAGCTGCACTTTCGGCCTCGAGTCTGTGGCACTTCTGTGGGTGGAGCACTGACCTCTCAGCTGGTGTTCAGCCTCTGTGTTTTCCAGCAGCACAGCCATCTCTCTCTCCTTTTCCCGCGTCGACAAAGTCACAGACGCCATCTCCTCCTCGTGAGCCCGGTCTGCTCTCTCTCTGTCCTGTCTGAGGAGAAACAACGGGTTGTTAAAGACGCATTAAGAACACAATTAAGAACTCTTTAAAAGACATTGTGAAAGGGAAGAAAATTTGATGACTCAGAGTGTGGAAAAATACACCGAAACAAAAATGCTGACATTTGAACGACATGCTTTTTACAGTATGTCTAATTCTATTGGAGATCTTTGCTGTCTGACTGAAGTTCATTTCAACACTGAATGTGAGTTTTGTTTTAAATGACAGTAAACTCATCTGCAGCCGATAGGGAAACAGGGAAAATATTTCTGCAGTTAGCACCATGGGCTACGAACACATTCAAAACAAATCATGTCACTCTATCAGTATTTTTAAATCAAACCTTTTCTTTAAACTTGAAGAATTTGATCATTTAGATTAACTACTTTTAAATATATGTTAATTCAAGCCTGACAGCACTCTGTGGCTCACAAATATACAGGTGATTACAATAAAGACAGTTGTTGAAAATGTGAAGGCTCTGACAGACCGATTTCAAAACAAATTAAGTCTTTCAGTGAGATTAGAAAGTGATTGACCAGCATATTCAAGATTAATCCTATCATACATGAACTCTGTAATGAGATTAGGAAGTTTTAATGTGTGTGGCTGAGATAAGTAATGTGAAAAAAGACAAGACTGGCAGATAAACGCAGGTGAGAGAGAACTCAGAGGAGAGCGCGCACTGAACAAGTGCAGAATAAAGGAGCGTGACAGGAAAGACTTGTGGGGGGTAATGGGTAAAAGTGTCAGGCCACTGTCGGCTTATAGACCCCTCGGTGATGCTGCAGCTGTCTTAAACACACACACACGCATGCAAATACAAATGTAACAGCGGAGCGAACACAGACGCTTTACCCGCTTTCTCTATGAACAAAGTCCAGGAGGTTCTGAGATTTGAAGAAGCAAAGAAAAGGTCAACGTGCTCTTAGACGTGTCAGTAAAAACTGCTGTTATCTTTTCTACGGCTCACTCTAACTCTGACTCAATTATCCAGGGAGTCATTTACACACGTCGATCAAAGATATAGACTTGACGTATACAAGGTCTACATTAATAACTGCGTGACTTCATGGTGCACAAGTTCTCTACACAACAGACTAGCGATTTTATCTCCGCTTCAACTTCTCTTAAAACTGAGACTTGTGTAGGTACGACGCAAACTTATGTGCTTGTTCCTGTGGGCTTTAAACAACATGCGTTCAACTCCTGTCTGAGCCAAACTTTTCTAACTCAGCGAAGTCCAAGTGTACCCAAACAACAGAGGAGGAGACAAAGAAGGAAAGAAAAGAAAAACACTACAAAGACAGGAAAAAACGAACAAATAAACAGAACTCTTCCTGAAGTCCAAAGGCGCTAATGAAGAGAGAATTCTCCAGTTTAAGTGAAAACTTTTCTCCCCTACAGCGCTTGGCCTGCATCTCTAAAGTGACCGCGTCTGTCTGTTCCTTCGTGTGTGTGTGTGTTCTCCTGCTGTCCTGCTGTCTGGGGTGTGAAAGCGGGTGGCGGGTGTGCAGGGGACACAAGGAGACTGTGTGTGTCTGTATGCGTATGAGTGTGTGCGTGTGTGTGTGTGAGTGAATGAACCCCCGCTGGGCTTGAACAGCAGCCTGAGCCACCAAAGCGCACACCAGGGCTCAGCGGGAGATGGCGGGCAGGCGTTGCCAGCCATTTGGTCCTGCAAGAGGTTCCAGGGGGCCGTGTGTATTTGTGTATGTCTATGAGTGTGTGTGTGTGTGTGCAACCGAGGAGGAGGGGGGGGGGGGACTCACACCAGACCTGTTTACCCACCAATTAGCATCAGACATATCGCCAGAAAGTTCCAGCAGTCAGCAATAGAGAGGTGGTGAGGAAGAGGAGAGTGAAGAAAAACAGAAGAGGACAGAAAAGCTAAATCACAGAGAGCTACACATTTGGCATCTGTGAGGTCTCGCTGATCTACTTAACCAACAATTTACAAGTACAACCTAATAAAGTTGTGCACAACTGAGCCGATTCTGGGCCTTTTCAAGTTGAAGATCAAATAAGTGGGCCTGAAGGTTCAGATCGGCGGGACAAGGACCTGAGGTACGAGTCCGGCTAAGTTATGTGGTCATTTCCTGCACCATTTTGTATCAGCAATCAAATACAACATGTTTACTTTCAAAATGTTGTCACAAAATGGCTGCTGATGAGTGCTGTCAAATTAAAGCATAAAAAAGAGAAAGCAAAGGAGGGATGGAAGTGGACAGCCAAGCCCTGGAGCAAGCATTGGGGACAACAGGCAGAGCAGAGGCTGAGTGTGTGGGTCTGGAGCTGGATGATTCTCCCTGGACAATAATCTGCCTTCCAGCTAATTGGTGAATGGACTCTGGGCTGCTGCCTGTGGCAGGAACTCTTGTTTGGGCCTAGGAGGCAATAGACTGAATGTTCAGTTAGCTGATAGCTGGGCCTGTTTGTATATGCCTGGCCTGATGCACTGTAGGACAGCTTGGTAAGTATGGCGAGAGCTGCATGGGCCAGGGGCCTAAGGTAGGCTGGAATGGCTCTGGGGCTGCGGCCAGGTACAGTGGCTGCTGGGTAAGTGGGAGGTGGCAGAGGCGGTGGCTGGCTGGCTTGCTGGCCAGAGCGGCGAGGAAGAAGAGGGGGCCCAGTCGGCACTGCCTGCCTAAGTGGGCACTATTCAAGCTGTTGCCCATTAGATGTGGGGTGCCAGGGCCTGACCAAGCACGGAGTTTGCAGCACCCCATGGTGCACCCGCCATCCCACGCCAGAACCACCAAATGCCGCGGTTTATCAGAGAACGAGCACAAATTGGAGTCAGACGGTGGACTTGGAGGAATTGGAGACATTCGCCAACGCCAGACATCACTGACCACTGTTTGGGCAAACTAAAGAAGACCATACTCTCTCCCAACAAACACATACAAACTTAAGTCTTGTATTATTTTATGGACGCTGACTCACTCACACAGACAAACACACATAGAATATATATCACCCTACATTACTTTTCACTTCAAATAACTAGGAAATATTAGCATGATTGATGAAGCTCTTCTTGAACTCAAACTCTCTGGAAGCGGTAAAAAAAGGACGAATGCTGCATATAAATTATGTGCGGAAACTATAGGAAAACTCATGACAACATTTCCCAACCGATGCATATTCATATTTATTCTCCTCGACGTTTCTGTGTTGCAAAATAACAGGTGTGAAAGTAACAAACAGGTGAACAGATTGTAAACACAGCCTATAGCACAAACACACAAACACACAAGCTTTGTTCAACTGATGGTTTTGAGACATTGATGATCCCTGCACAGAGTTGCGGAGGAAAAAAATACTATTTCTATCACGGAGGACCATCTGTACTTATTGTTTTACCCAAGAATATTTTCTATATATCTGAAATATCATCAGATGTTCCTCGTACTGTTTTAAATTTAATCTTGATTACCAGCATCTATTTTTTGCCCAAACAGTTCACATTGAACGCAACATAAGTTAAATTTAAGTTTGAACCGGATTCTTAAACAAGGTTATAGTAAAGTTTTTAGATATTCAGCTTCTACTTGATCCGGTTTGTAACTCTACATTTCACGTCAGGTCTTTCCACAGATGCAGTGAAGCTCCAAGAATCAGGCGGTAAGACTCGATGTTGATAGTATGCTACCGTGATGAGCTGATTTTGTACTATAAAATTACAACTATTTACTCATATATAAACTGCTCAAAATGGTGACACTCGCGGTGATTCATATTTGTGGAGGAATTCCAGTTCATCCACAGCTATTTATGATCGACTGCATCAATCAGGCTGCATTAATATTCAACAGCCTGGTATGCAGAAATACAAAAAGATGATTCCTGCGTGAGTGTGTGTGTGTGTTTATGTGTGTGTGGCTGAGAGACAGAGAGACTGAGGCCTTGTGTAGGCCCATCGAACTGCCACTGCCAACAAAAGATGAGTGCACCAAAGAGAGAATAAAGTGACATATTGAACATTTTACTGCGCTGTGTATCACTGATGCTGCGTATGACAAACATCTGAATTGTTCCGTTGTAGCAGACCGTGCGGTGTCAAACCATTTTCTGTCACACGCACCTCAGTGTGTTTTAGCACGTTTTTATTAAACCTCAGGGTGATGCAAGTCAATCACTCTGCCCCCACAGTTTTCTTCTGACACCCCCCCCACCCCCTTCATCTCGCCGCTTCACTTTATGAAACAAACACATCAAACACAGAGGCGGCCTGATGCAGCCTCAGCGCTCGTTTGCTCCGTGCCCAGCGCATCTTCCTTTCTGTCTGTCCATCTATCCGTCCAGAGCGCTCTCATCTCTGCTCCGATCCTTTTTTCTGCTGCTTCCATCTCTCCCTCCTCCCTCCTCTTTTCCCTCCCACCCTTTTTTTCCTGTAACTAAACTGGCTGTGTCTCTCTCCATCTGCTGGTTCTTCCTTCAGCGGCCCTGCACCTGTTCACACCTCCTCTCCTGTTGGCCACCTCTTCTCTCTTCTCCCCCCCCCCCCCCCCCCCCTATCTCTCTCTTTCTCTCGCTCTCTTCCTCCCTCCCTCACTCTGCTCAGTGCGATGCTGCCAGGCCCCGTTCCTGGCTCAGTTAGCCTCTCTGTCATTCAATCCATCTGTCGGCAAGTCAACTTTGTTTACAGCGGGCGGCCCAAGCCTCTTTTCTTCTTCAAGGAGCGCTACAGCCCCCCCGCCGCCACCAAGGTCAGCGGTGAGCCAATCGTGCCGTGCAACAAAAAACTGCAACTGTTAAAGTAGCAAGAAAATGTAATTCGCCCTACTGCTTAAGCGAAACCCGGCAAAAGTATCCACAATAACTTTTTTGCACATCCTACAAGCTGTATTCCACGCCCGTCGACAAACGAATAAAACACACCGCTACAGACGCACAAATCGATGTAGAAAAAGCTGTTGCAGCATACATTCCCTCAGACTAAAATCCAACACAAGATTAGAGTCATTAGCTGCTGATTGGCCTCTATCAGCCCCTCTTTAACAACCCAGAGTGAAAGTAGTTTATAAAAGTCTTAATTGGCACAGATGACTGATGGTCTTAACACAGGAAGAGCAGACTGGCAGTGCAGGCATCTGTGATTTTTAAAAATAAACACACAGCATACGTACAATATGCTCCCATACTGACCTGATCCAGAAACCCAGGACCCAGCAACAGAGTCAAATCTGTGGCCTGCAGAAATAGTTGTGGGTAGCATATGTGGCAGGGCCAGGGGTCGAATCAATTTCAGCTGGGAAGGTAAACCATCGCACAAAATTATTCATTCCTCAGAATAGCAGCTTTAAGTTGCATCTCATTAGATATCAGATGAAAACATAAAAACACTCGAGAAGGATCCTTAAAGAAAAATGCAACAAATTCATCATAAATGATTCATATTTTGGATTTCAGTTCAAGCTAATTTAAGGATCTTTTATGTCAACTTTGGTAGACCATATGGACAAATTTGCGTGTCTTATCCGTTTGTACTTGAGTGTTTTCTCAATCAAAACCTGCATTAAATGGCGATGGCGGTTTGCTTTAATAGGTCAAACAGAGGCATCATATTCAATCCGGATTGAAACAGTCCGAGTACGTCCACAGACTAAAATAGGGGTTGATATAGTAGTAGGTTTCTAAGCTGTGCAAACAAAAAGTTGGTGCCACATGGAGTGTGTGTTCACTCACTTGTGTTTGAATTCACTTCACACGTATGACACACCTGGTGCGTTCAAAAGGCCCCCTCACCCATTCCACCTGGTTATAAGCTCGGGGGCCACTTGCGGAGAGGAACTCGCAGCATCTCGATCTCCCCTGCTAACTCACCTAAGTCATCTCCAGTGAACTCCTCTATGAAATGAATTTTACTTGCCCAGCTCTTTTCTTTATCTCTTTCACACCCTCTGCAGCTCTCCCCTCTTCTCTTCATGCTCCTGGGCCATCAGATCAGATGCCTAGCGAGAGAGAAGCAGCCATTGAGGTTGAAAACAAAGGGAGGCTTTTTTTTTTAACTCAGCAGGGGGACACAGGATGGAGATGGGACTGTAGGGGGGCTTGTGCCCATCCGGCGCTGGCCTTAATATACATACTATCGCCAGCCTCACTGCTTTTCTCCTCTGCCCTACTCTACCTCCTGCATGCAATCGACCAACTTCTCTCTCTGTGCTTTAAACTTCCTCTACTTCAACCAACAACTTTGAAATGTCCTCTTCTCATTCATCACCTTCTTGTGTCCTTTCTAACATCTACTGTTCGACAGACTCTGATGTCAACCAGGTTCACAGAGTGCTTTGTTTTCAGGAGAGGAGCACATACATATGCATAAAAATAGCGTCACATCTTTAGCGTTTTTCACCGTTTCAAACACAGCTGCAAGTCAAATTGTCATTATGCCAAATACACAACAAAAAGCAACTTCAGCTCTTATCATTGCGGCGTGTTATGTGAGATAACACGTATATTCCGGCCATCAAAGACTTTCTTTCATGCTGTTATCAACAACAACCTCAATATAAAGTATTATTTACCCTGAAACTCATCACTGCTTTCCTTTCTTTGAGTGTTTCTCCTTCTGTAGCTTCATAATCGCTCTACTCTGAAGCCATCCTTAACCTAAACTCTCCTCCTTGCTATTTTTTGCTCCTGCCGCTGTGATCACCTCCTGAAACAACCTGCTGATGGGGGCACTGCCATGCTACCTTTGTGCCGCTGTTTGGTACTGCTGTGCCCATAAAGGGCGACAGAGAGAAAAAGGATGGGTTGAAGGCAAGAGTGAGGAAAAAAAAAAGGGAGAACAAAGAGAGGCTATATGAAGGATAAAAAATGAAGAGGATAACCAGATAAAAAAGGACAGATCAATCAGGGAAAAGAGAGAAATGGAGGTAGAGGAAAAGCAAAAAGAGGTTCTGTCATGTTGGATGAAAGCTGTGCCTGACGGGCAGTGGGCACAGTGTAGAGTCACTGATGGTGCCACCCTCACAGCAGGGATATGTGAGGGCACAAAAGTTGACCAGATGACTAACTGACACGCACATACGCATACAAAAACTCCAGATAACAAGCAGTGTAGCCCCCTGAACAGACAGGATGCAGTCTGAACACAGACAGGTGTTTGTGTTTTTTGTTTTTTTAAACATTTCAGAACTCCTATAGCATGTTCTTAAATCCATCACATGGACACAAAGAGGCAAGACAGAAGAAGCATGTTGTAGGAGAGTTTGAGAGTTATGGGTGGATAGATGGCAGAGGTCTGGTGCACTCCCGTTCATTCTCTGTCCTCCAGCAGGAGTAGTGTGTGTATGTAGGCCAGTGTCCCAGGGCACACTTGGCTGGGGTGGCAACAGTTGTAGCCGACAGATTTGCCTCCATCTTGCCCGAGGTCTCCCAGTCAGCGATCTGTCTATTCTACCCATTCCCAGCCCTCAGGATGGACAGAGTACAACTCTGCCTAATAATCCCAGTACTTCTCATTCTTGATTTTCCACTGTTGAATATATTCAATCCTTTATGATAGTTTCAGTGAAAACCACTCAACTTATGCTATATCAGAGTTTATTCAGGTGCTTGTGATGGACAGAAAGGAGAAGCTGAGAGATGACGAACATCCGGTCTAAGAGAAGGATTAGTGGTACTTAAAAAATAAAAGAAACTAAAGAGAAAGTTGAAAAAATTTTGAACTCTATCTGCTTGAAGGAGTCTGGAAATGAGTTTAAGTCTTAATTCAGGCCTATTTAATAGTCTAGTTGAATGAAAAGGTCAAGCAAATCCAATCCTGACCCTCACAATTCAGTATTTGTCTTCATAGAATGGAAATATATTGATATAAAGGAGTGTCAGTGTTATATGTTCAAGTCAACCAGGTAAGCTATATAGTATAGGGCTGGGCGATACGGCCTCAAATCAACATCACGATATATTGAGCAGTTCACCTCGATAACGATAAATGAACAGTAACTACTCCTCAAGCTGCTCACCTCCTCCCACACTAACTTTATCTACTTCAGCCGTCACTCCAGCTGCTAAAACTTTTGAACCATCCTCCATCTCCTCACCTGTCTTTCCCTCTTTGTTACAGACTGGATGGGGTGGAGTCACGTCTCTGACGTAGGACATGAGATCATAGCCTACCCACACACATCCAAAGCCAACTTTTATTTGTTTATTTATATATTTATTTATATGACTCCAAATACATTGACATGGGCAAAATGAAGTCATAAATTTCAGTATCTGTAAATTTTCAGTTTATCACCCAGCCCTAATATAGTATGAGCTACTACAGAATTACACTACATACATTTTGAAAGGATTAAAGTGATTTTAGAGCTCAAAAAACATGGAAAAATTATGGAAAATAATCTATTAAACCAAAAGACGCATTTGTGTAGAAAGAGATGGAGTTACTTGCTTATACACTTGACCTTTTTTATCAATGCCAACATGTGCATTTTATTCAAAGTTTTTTGTGTGAAGAAAACAGGAAATGATTAAGGTTAAGATAGAAGGACTGTTAGGTATTAGTGCTTTGAGGGATTGTCTGACAAGCCCAGAACTGAGGGAAAGTGCTCTAAACAGAGAGCCCATCTTGATATGAGATATCCTGGAAATAGATTTTTATTCCTTTGAATACTGAATTTCCTTTCAGGGATCAATAAAGTTATTCTTATTCTTGTTCCTTGAGTTGCCTTGTACATGTGATTTACCCATTACATCAACAAATCCAATCCACACCATCAGTAACATTCAGCTGATTGGTAAAGAGGGAGAGAGACCACCAAAGAGCACGGTTATTCTCTCCGAAGTATCAAATCAATCCAGTCAAGACAAACTTGACTGGATTGACTCTGAAAGTTTAAGGACTGATGACACTAAACTTGACTCAAAAGGCCTCCATCAGGTTTAATAATAAAACACACTGTGTTACAGCAACTGAGTCAACTCAGATGAACTCAAAACTAGAGTCCACAGAAGCAGGGATACAGCAGAGTGAGAAAGAAAGACAGTGTGATGGAAAGACAAAGAGAGAAGGAGAGTCAAAGAAACTAAAAGAAAGATATAAGTTGGGGTCGGTCTCAACAGATTGAGAAAGAGAGAGAGAGAGAGAGGAAGAGAGAGCAAGAGAGAAAGAGGTGAGAAGGCAGGATGGCAGAGAGGGCACTCCGACAGCGAGGAGAGAAGAACGCGGCAAGGTCTCGTCACCGGGCCAACGGGCCCACCACTGTCAACATCATGGCACTCTGTGGTACACACACACACACACATACATACACACAAACACACACGGCTGGCCAACGGCCCTCCCAGCTGCCCTATCCGTAACTGTCTGATTAGTTGTGCTAAGCAGCCCCTCCCCTGCCAACCATGGTGCCATCTGCTACCCAACAACATGGCTGCCGACCAGACAAGCACACACACACGCAGACACACATGCAAAGACACAAAAACACACAGCAAGCCACATACCTGGCACTGCCCCGCTGCTGTCACACAGAGACACACACATCAAACTTCACAGACACAGGTGTAGCCCAAAGGTATCAACATTTAACACAAAGGCATGCACGCAGACTCGTCTGATTGCACACACACAAACATCACGATTCAAGACCACTTCATGCATGTGTTCACACACACACACAGACACACACAGTTGCTTTTGAGGTTCCGCGCAAGCATGTGTGTAGTGACAGTTGTGACACTGTTAACGCCAGGTAGAAAGAAAGATGCTGTGCTGAAGTGTGTGTGTGCGCTCGCTGGCAGAGCTTGAAGGTTCATTACGGCCCCCGCCTCTCCTGAGCGACTTCAGCCCGCGTGGTGCCCCGGCCCTTTTATTCTGGGCCGTGATTGGACAAGGGCCTCCCGCCGAGTTGGTTTGCAGCAGTTTTGTCGCGCCCAGATTTCACTCCCTGCTCAAAGTGAGCCTCTGGCGGGACGCGGCATCTGCTGCCTCACCTTCCTCATTTACACTTCTCCGCCCTCACATACACAAACAGAGTTACGTTCACCGCCTTCCCAGACCTTGCTATCACGATGTATAACTGCAGGGAGATTAAAAAAAAAAAGGCGGAGGACTAAGTAGAACGACAGAGATGGGGGCAGCAGTGTGACATGTTTAATAGAGTTTGGGGAACTTGGTGTTTAAGAGTCACAGCGGTTGGTCTAGAGCTTTTTACCTCACAGCATCTCAGCATCCACCGTCTGATTTCAGGGTCAAAGAAAGGAGAACGTGGCCTAAAAACACGAGAAAAATATCTCCCTTGCTTTGTTTCTCTATCTGCCTTTTTAAATTGTTTAACTCTTTCAATACAACAGACATTAGTGGGTACATTTTTCTCTTTATTATTCACGGCCCCTTCAAATATCTACCTGATACTGACCCACTGACTGTAAACAGCTCTAGACCACTGCCTGGACTTGTTTGGGCAGTATCCTGGTCAAACCCAAACCAAGAGACCTTTTTTTTCAGCTTATGGCATTGTCTACAGCTCGACTCAAATTGAGCTCTGCTGCCACTTCCTGTTTCAAGTCCAGGCATGCATGTGTATGGTCGGGCAACGTTCACCAATATTGCATGTGATTAGTTCTGGAGCCAAATATAGTGTTATCAGGTTTGCTAGAAGGGGGTCCAAAAGAGGCTGAGTAATTAAGTTACACTACTATTATGCCCTTTTAGTTAGTTAGCTATTTAGTCGCTATGAACTAGGCTAAACCTTTGCATAGCCAAAAGAAACAAGCTGTCTGCCAAACACAAAGACAGAACAATGCTCAACTGTGTTCGAATATCACGCTCAGTACGTTTACATGACACTCGAGGAAACCTTACTCCGATTACGCGGACAAGGAGAGAAGTCCGATTTGACAAAAAACGAATTATAAGCTTAGTCCGATTAAGGTGTGCATGTAAACACACAGAGTGTCTCCTTGCTGTTTCTCTTGTATAACACATATACATGATGAACATGGGGTCAACTGGTGAGTTGAACATCGGCTTAAACTATAATCAACAAATAGGAAATTCTTTATTCAGAGGTACCCTGATTAAAAGTGTTCATGTTCAGAGATATCCTGGCCCAGGAATCCATAGTCTCAACTTTTAGGTAATCGAAGGACATCAACTAAACTTTTTAGAAGAAAAAAGTTTCAGTTCACATCTATCTGGAGCTTTAAGCAAGCACCCTCATAAACATGGATGCCTGATTTCATAGGGATAACAAAACTGGAGGAAGATTTCGGGCTCCGCAGACAATCAGTTTGTCCAAACTGCAAAGCAGGCGCCGCACAGGTCTCAGGCAACCCACAGAAACAATAACGCATGCAAACACACATCTACCCATTCACTCCTATCTGGCATGTGTTGAGACAGAAGTTATGCTGGGCAGTTTTCTCTGTGGCCTTTGGGATCTGTGATCACAACGCAGGGAGAGAAGGGGCCGGATGGAGACAAGAAAAGAAGAAAAGAAAGAAAGTGAAGAAAGGCAGGAGCAAACAAACAAAACAAACTTGGTTAAGCCCTCTGCTGGGCTGGGGCCGGGACTGGAGTGTGTGCATGTGTGTGTGTGAGACGATGTGAACAGAGTGGTGGGGATTAGGACAGATCCTGGGCTGTCCAACTCACAGCTGGCTGATGATCCAATCCTGGAGCGCAGCGCAGCGCACCAGCCGCCATGGGACCCCCGGATGCGTGCATGCATCTGTGTGTGAGCGTGTGTGTGTTTGTGTTTGTGTACAGGCATGTGGATTGGACTGATGTGAGTATCAGTCTGCACATTTGCAGGCATGCAGTTGTACAAACAAGTGTGTGTGTGTGTGTGTGTGTGTGTGTGTATATGTTTGTGTGTGTGTGTGCACTAAACAGAAGGAAGGTAGGGGCCATCCGAAATCAAGCAGAGGCTGTTTGTGCTTCATGTCCCCTTTTTGAAGGTGGGCTGTGATCATTTGGGCCACGGGAGGAGGACAGAATGAAAGAGGAGACTGAGCAAGTTGCAGCAAGAGAATCAAAGAGCTGCCTTCCAAGGCTGGTCATAAAAACGCCTTCCAGCCTTGCTACCAACACTCTGACAGCACACACAAACACAGTAACACAGAGCAGCACACAGCAGCTACAAAGAGGACGCACAGCTCTGTAGTGAAGAACAAGAGAGGGCAAACAGAGGCATGACTATGAATGAACTACATGTTCTGCATAACCCCAAAAGGGCAAGAGATAGACAAAGAGAGAGACAGAGAGAGAGAGATAGAGAGGGAGAGAAGAGGAGAGGAGGGAGACATTTACGATGTTTTAATTGTTTGGTTTGGAGCAGCATGAGAAAAAAAGAAATCGAGAACATGACGAGTGGGGAAAAAAAAAAAAAAATCAAAAAGTAAAGAGTTAAAGTAGCAGGTGTTTTTATGACATGTGGATGTGCGTATGAGGGCATCTGAGTTTCGTTTTCAAGACACTAAAAAAAGATGCCTCACTTCTCTGTTTGATAAGACATCCTCCTACATCTATCACTCAAACTTCACTAAGTCAGGCATGGATCAGTTTAAAGATTTAGTAGACTTCAAAAATCACTACTTTAAGTTGAAATGACCCGCTGGATAGATCATTTTAAACAATGAGAACTGGAACCAAGATACTCAGGCAGATCTGCGCTCCTCTGTCGCTCAGTGGCTAAATTTAGGACAATTCTGTACATCAGGTCTTTGTACATTATAATCTAAAAACACTTTCTGGTTCTACAAGGTTAATTCATTGATTATTCCTATAACTTATCCTGTGACAATATTTTGTGCTCTTCCAGAGACACAGACACAGTCTTTTCCAACTGTTCCTGTGCTGTATTTGGTTTTCAACATCATGAGCACATTTGTTTCTAATTTGTCGCAGCAGAATTTGAATGTTGGTTATTCCTGTTTCCTCCTATTTGTGTAAATACAATGCCTTTTAAAAGCTCTATAAAGCTGGACATTAAATTTGGTCATTTCATACCGAGTGTGATCATTCATCAAAGGCACCACTGGAGGAGGAAAAAAAAATATTGAAATGATGTCAGTGTCAAAAGTGGCTTTTACTACTAATGACCAAAAATTGAATTTGAATGGCTACATGCTCAGCCAAGTCAACAGCTGTCAAACACCCAGTATGCATCTGCAGAGAGATAAAACTATAAACTCTCTCATCCACATACACCCGCACACATGGCAGTTAAATGGTTTAGTCCAGCGGCTCCTCCAGTACAGGTCAAAGTCATCATGTTGCCATATTAATATGCATGTCATTCTCCACAGCTGGCTGCAAACACACTGCAGACACACACACTCAAAAACGGACACCAACACAGCCTTTAAACACACGAAAGCCATGCAGACTGTGTGTTAGCGCTGGCCAGTCGACAGACAAACACACTCAAATACAGATCAAGCCAGGGGCTGCAGTGGACACACACACACAGATTACACAAACTTGTATCCCGCAGCCTCTAGCACCACAGGGCACCACTGCCACATCTGTGCCCATCTTAAACACCTCGGTTGTGGGCAGCAGGGGTGAGACAGTGCCCTGGGCGGCTGGCATGGGCTGGCACGACCCTGGCAGAAGCTGGTGTTAGAGGGACCTGCAGCCAGCATATGACAGAAGGGAGAGAGGGACGGAATAAAGAGGGGAAGAATTTCAAGAGGCGAAGGGAAAGAAAAGGAAGAAGTATAAAGGATGGATGGATAAAAGCTTAAAGTGAGAGCGCCAGGTAAATGGAGGGAGTGGAATGAACTGATGGTGGTGATCAGTGGACAGAAGAGTAACAGAAGAAGTGATGAAGGGAACCAAAGGAAAAAATGGCGCAGAAAGATGCAGAAATAGATTTCTGTTTTTTTAAGGAGGTGAGGGTGGGGGGGGTGGGGCCGGTAGTGCCTGTCGTGAGAACGGGCGCAGGGCAGCGGCAGGTGGCTCTAAGACCAGGCTGTCCAGTGACCACCGGCCACACTTTTTCCTATGTGTGTGTGTGTCTGTATGTCTGTGTATGTACGTGTGCACGCCAGGGACAGAAGAAAGGCTCAGGCGCCATTTTGGCTCTGCTGGAGCTGTTGCTGGGCTGGGCACTGGCCTGGTGGCACAGACCCGGCACTGTGTTTCTGTGTGCAAGTGTGTGCATGGACGTGTGTGTGTTTGTGTTCTGTGTGTTGCATTATGTTGTGGCATGCTTAACAGGATTAGAGGTGACCTGGTGAGGTCCAGTTGGTACTGGGACCATGGCACAGCGGCACATATGAGTGTTTATGTGTGTTTATGTGTGTGTGGTTTGTATAATAGGATTAGCTGTTACCTGGTGTGGTACAGTTGGTGTGCTGGTCTGAACTGGACTGGGCCGGGCTGGGCTGAGCTGGGCAGGAGCTGGCCAGAGGGAAGTGCTCTGCGTGTGTGTGTGTGTGTTTGTATGTGTATGTGTATATGCGTGTGCATGTGAGTGTGGTGGCATGTATAATAGGATTAGGTACTACCTGGTGAGGTGCAGTTGGCGCTGGGCATTTGCCAGCTGTTCTGCTAGGCTCAGGGCTTCGGCCTGCCATTGGCTCCCATCCTTTTGGACCGCTTCCAGATGCTGCCGGCAGCCAACCAGCTCTGAGCTCAGCCTTTCCACTTCCTGTCCCGCAGAGATGGCCAGAGAGGAGGAAGAGGAGGTGAGGAAATCTTTCACAACAAACCACCTTATGCCCTCAGACAAACATGTTGTAGACCTACTGAAACCTCACATGACCACCAGAGTTGTACAAGGACATCATATGTTCACCCTCATTTCGAAACTATTAGATTCTGAACAAAACAGTCAATACAAGGAACTATTGTCTCTCCTAACTGCACAGAATTCAGCATAAACTCATCTCTACCCAAATACTACAGCTTTGTTAAAATTGTTAATTGTAAATTCGAAAACGTGGAAAAAATATCAGAGGATTTCTTGGCAACACCTTGGCATAGCTTCCCTAAGTGGCAGTTGATTAAATTATTGTGAAGACTTAGAGATCACTGGCTTTCTAATAAGAAACAATGACAGAATTGATCATACTGGTTTAATTTAAAAAAAAACTCTACACCTATCAATAGATACAAAGCTCGTGTACCTGTGCGGCCTTTTCCATTTGTCTGCTGGTCTTGGCGTTGAGCTCTCTGAGCTCTCTCTCTGCCTCCTCTTTCTTCAACTGGGCCTGGCTGAGCTGGTAACGCAGATCCACACACACCTAGAGATGATGAACAGGCTATGTTTAAAACGGGTTACTCCTTTCATGAACAAATTTTAACTTGTGTCTGGTTTTTAATCATTTGCCGTTTTTTTATTTTCATTTTTCATCACCTTAGTCTAAGTTCGTCTTTCATTTAAATAAACAGTCTGTGCTATGTGTTAAACCCTTTACCATGACATGTGAGTTTTATAAACCTCCTGAAAGCCCTCATAAAAACAAATAAATCACATTACTAATGATATGATTATTTACAGCCATTTATTTATGTTTAAAACTGTAAATCTACTGGCTTTTTTAATTATTATCATTATTACTGCAATGTAATAATACAAGGTAACAAAAAATTGTTGCATTAAAATGAAAACATTTGGTCATCATATTGTTCAACTGTGCTGCACAATCACAGGTAAGTGTTGACTGTAGAAACTGGATAGTATTAATATTGTGAGCTCAGGGCATTTCATCTTGTTATACAAACCTTTACAGGCCAAATGATAATGTTGTCTCTGCTGTGCAACCTTTAACACTTTTATACACATACCCACAGATTTAAAACTGAACTGAGCATCTTCACATGCAGCTCGGTTATCCACCTTCGCTTTCAATAATTTGCGCGCAGACGGTGACTTCCATCGAACTGTTTCAGCTCTAAAATTGATTAACCTTTGCTGCCATCCAGTGGCTCGACAAAAGCATTACAAGTGGACAACACAAGCTTCAGCTGATTGTTCTGAGTGTTCAACCTCCTTTTTTCAAGTTTCAGTTGTTGCTCTATCAGCAAACATTTCCATCTTTAAGGGATAACATATGTGATTGTTTCCTTCAGACCTTCATACAGGCTGTTACAGGTTTTATACTGTTTACAGGCTGTTTCTGTCTGACCTTAACACAGCCTCACTTACCATCTATATCAAAAGACAGTGATTCAAACTGCCTACAGCCAACTCTGGGCAACATAAACACCAACGGTGAGTAAAAATACAGTGTACCTTAGTATTGTCTTGTTCTTGAGTAGTCAGTTTATGAAGAGTATCTTCCAGCTGATTGGTCAGTGAGCTCCTGTCTCTTTGAGCTCTGTTTAGCTGCCCCTCCAGCTCAGCAACTTGCTCGGAGAGGCTGGACACCTAAATACAAACACAGTTTTGTTGAACAACTATAATGTTCAAATATTGCAAAAATGTTGTGTATTCTTTGAAATCATTTCATGTTATCAAATATAACATTAATATTAATCATCTACTAAACAGCATCAGTACTGCTTTCTGATATGACTCAACCAACAGTAAAGCACGTGAGATGTAACTTAATACATGTGCAGTCGTTCACTTGACACAGTGAGAGAAAGAGTCCAATTACTGTAAGTGCCAGCTCCTCTTTCTGTTTGCGAGCCTCAGCCCGACCCTCCTCTCTGGCCTCAGCCAGTCTCTTCTGCAAAGCCTGTGCTTCTTGTGCTCGAAGTTCCCTCTGCTGAACGAGCTCCCTGGACAGCTGCTCACATTGCACCTCCACCTGCAGGCAAACAAACATTTGTAACAGGTTGGCTGGATGTAACAGGCCATGGTAGAAGGAGGAAACACAATTTTGGAGCAAATCTTCTACAAAATTAACACAATTTTACATATGAAAAGATCAGTTTAGTAAACACAGAAGGAAGGAGAAGGAGTGTGTTTCTCAGACCCTGGCTTTGAACAGATTTGCTTCCTCTGCCATCTCAACAGCCTGTTTGACCTGGAGACAGGCTGACCACTCTCTCTGTTGAGCTTCCTGCTGACTGGCTCGCAGGGCGCGTAGGGCCACCAGCAACTCATCACGCTCCCTTAAAGTTTGACAAACAAGAAATGCAAGAGTTAAAAAAAGGAACAAATCCTTTTTCAATCGATATAATCAGATATAAAAAACAAAATATCTGAAAAGTGGGAACAGATATGTAAATTCTGTTACTGACTGTTACAATATTAATAATATAATAATATGTTGCACTGAGGAAACTATTATTATCAGCAAACAGTGTATTTATGTGTGGGGGCTTGTGTGTGTGTGTGTGTGTGTGTGTGTAACCACTGACTTTGTGAGTCTGTCAATAGCCTGGACATGCAGATTCGTGTGAGTCCCAGCCAATACAGCCTCCTGCTGTGCACACTTCAGACACAATCCTGCCACACGTGGAGCCCCATCAGACCTCTGTTTATCTGCAGCCTGTTTCTCCTTGTGTTTCAGACAGACCCTCAGCTCCTCACACTCTTTCTGGCTGACCGAACGCTCCTTCCTGAGGATGGATGCAAAAGATGAAAATGAGGAAACAGAGACAAAATAACGGCTCAAGAGAGGAATGCAAATGAATGTAGAGGAAAAGTGAGTGGCTACCCTTAGTTTACAGTTACAGTAAACACAGACCTGAGGGCGATAACCTGAGCCTCCAAGCTTTCAATCTGAGCCTTGTGGATTGTTTTCAGTTGTTCCTGGTGAATAAAGACATTTTCAGATCAGAATATATGTGCACCACTGAAAAACACTTAATCAGTAGATGAAATTTGGATGACTGATTTGGAGTTTTATCACATTTTTTAAGTATCTGTATGTCTTTGTACATGTTTACGCTCCTCTGGTGAACTTGATTCTTTGAAGGGAATTTTGTTTTTTTTGTGGTGGGATTTTATGATGTACCAGTCAATAGTTAGTGTATTTGTCACAGGGGATCCCAGCCAGCTTGGCCCTTTTGCTGAGAAAGCCAAAGGAAAAAATCTATGGTACTGTAGAAATTTCATGACTGCTGTGAAATATGTGGGTTGCAGATGGAGAGGAATCAAAGAACAGTAACTTAAAGAGAGACAAGAAAATAATCCATCATTCCCACCAGCTCATTTTTCCAAGTGGCGTGTTCCGCGCCTTTCAGCTCATCATGGTTTGATTTGGAGGCTATGTAGTTGCTGGCAGCCAAACTCTCATTCACCTGTGGAACACATCAGGGAAAATCATCATTGTTTTGCAAAGATCATCCAGGTTCTATGATGCATATGCTTTATATAATCCAAGAAACAAAAGCTTAGACCTTGAGTTTTGCACATGCACACCCATTACCGTTGCATTTCTAATAGTATAGTCTCTCAGGGAATCATCCACAGCCTGGCATCTCAGCTCTGAATGCAGCTTCTCATTCTCCACCACCACCACTCTGATCCGCTGTTTCAATCCCTGCAGCTCTTCCTAAAATCAGGTACATTGTAGGGATTATCAATAAATTATCAGCAATAGCCAAATAACTCAAATATAGACACTTACATATTCATCTGCTTACATACCTTGCAGAATTTGACCTCAGCTTCCAGATGCTGGATGTACTCTGACTGGTTGTGAATCATTGGGACCAGATCATGAAAAGCAGGCGAACTAGACCTGCCTTCATGCTGAAGCCTCTAACAGAGGAAAACAGAGTGTTTAATAAAATGTGGAAAAAACAAAAGAATATCAAGTAAATACTGATACTATTGTTAATATTAATCAATTGATATTGTCAGGGAGTGGTCTACTCAGTTAAACATGTTTGACCAAGGAAAAAAAAAAACACTGTTAGCTACAAGCTTTACCTTAGAGGGCGACTGTTTCTTTAAAGGTGAGAGAGAAGTAGGGATATCTTTGCTCTGCTTCAACAGAAGGCTCTTCAGCTGGTTGACTACAATACAAAAGGACACAAACATAGAGACACACAAAGACACATAATGAGTGTTTTCTTAACAACTTTGTGTTTTATTTATCCCCAAGATAATGAGTGGGGAAATCTCCAAGTGTTTCATTACAATCTCTTTTTTCAGACAAACAGCACAGTTACCTGCTTCACTCTGAGTCTTTTGGCTCCATGCAGCCTTCTCCTCTTCAGACATGGCGCTGAAGAGTGTAACATCACTGCCTCTGGGCTCCACCACCTCTTCTCCATCAGGCCCCAGCTCATTCAGAGTGCTGCTCAGCTGCTGTATGCTCTGATTGGCCCTCTCTGAAACCAATATGTCATACAAGGTCATACAGTATATTATTGCAAATGTTTTCCTAGTAACGACCGCAGATAGCAATACAGAGAGGCCCCCGCTCAACCAAAAAGCCACTCTATAACCACAAATAATGCTCAGAACAGCACCTAACTTCATCAACAGTACATATAGGGTCCCAGCCACAGCACTAGCCACCAAACATCTTTTTAACTTTGCCAAATTTCTTTAGCAAAGAGACTAAACACAACTCACCCACTATTTTCAAGCAGTCACTTGTTTCTAGGGCAACCTCCGGGTGAAGCAGCTCAAGGTAGAACATTTATGATCATTTCTTCATGGAAATGCAATCAGACTGAGACGCTAAGGCAGAAGAACTACCGCGTCTGCAGTGCAAAACTCTTAATATGATGATTATTACTTCAAGGAAATTATAAAGTACCGATCATAAATGTTCTTCCTTGAGCTGCGTCACCCCGCTGTAGTCAATGGACTAAACAAACGGCTGCTGGAGGACAGTGGGTAAGTTGTGTTTAGTCGCTTTGCTAAAGAAATTATTCAAAGTTAAAAAGATGTTTGGTGGCTAGTGCTATGGCTGGGACCCTGTATGTACTGTTGATGAAGTTAGGTACTGTTCTGAGCATTATTTGTGGTTATAGAGTGGCGTTTTGGTTGAGTTTGCTTGAGGAGCAACAGGTGGGAGTGACATTTCCTTGAATTGAAGCCTCCACTTGGTACATTTTAGATATCAAAACTCCACAGCTGTGACTGGAGGACAACACACAGGACAACGTTGTACAAGACAGACAACTATAATCCAATAAACGGTGACCCCTTTACCTTTTTACGCTGGGCTTTTTGGTTAGCCATTAGCGTATTAAGAGAGGTAAATAAAAACTTTAACTTACGCCTCAGTTCCTTGTGATAAGGACCTATCCTCTCCTCTTCCTCCTCGTCTGAATCCAACGGTTTCATCAATTCGCTGTAGTAGGCGTTAAATCTCGTTGTATCAAAAATTAACGTGTTATGTCACTCCTTCAACTAAAATACGACCCACACGTCCAAACAGTTACCGATTCTTACTCTGTAATACGTTTATTTTTGCATAACCACACCCCAAAAGGATAGTGTACTCGTCTTTTTAATGTAACATAAATAATACCGTCCGCACGGTCGGTTCACTCGGTGGATTTCAAAACAAGGTAACCAGCGGTAAACGGTCCTGACTTCCGCAAACTGAGCCCGATACTGGGAGTTGTAGTCATTTCTTTGTAGGCGCAGCTTGCATGTTACACGTCCGCCTCCCTGTGGTGAAGAGTGGGAATTAAAGGTTGATTTGATACAGAACATTGGACAAAAACATCGAGTGAAAGGTCTACACATGGGTTACCTCTAAATAAAATGTAGGCTACAATCTTATTTTTTATTTTTTTATCTTTTATATTTTTTCTTTTATCTTTTATCTCTTTTACCTCTATCTTATTTCGACTTACTTTTCTTATTTAACCTTTCAGGCCTTTTATTGATATAATTTTTTTTCCTGCTCATTTTTTAAATTCCATTTTATCATTATTACCATCATTACTATTTTATTACTATTTTATATTCATTATTAGTATTGTCTTTTTATATTTACTATACTGTTTCCTGCTTTCTACCCCCCTTTTAGTACATTTCTTTTTCTTACCTACTTTATGTTTTTATTTTGGTCCTCATGGTCTCATTTTATGTTGTAGGGTTCTTGTATTGTCTGGGTTTCTTATGACAAATAAAATTGGCCCTCAATTCGGAGGTTTTGTTTTTAACTAAGCTTTTGATTTTTTCATATTTGTTTTTGATAATCATATTCCAAGTTTACTAGTCACTTAACTTTCTTATCTAAAATGGAGCAAAACATGGGGAGAAAATCACCATTCAAAAATTCACTTGAGTCATAAGTATTTCTCAAGTATTTGCATAAAAATGAACTTAAAAAGGTTACTTCGTGTAATTTTGTATTGGTAAGATACACTGGTAGGCTATAACTACTATGAAACTACTGCTGCTGCTACTGCAGAAAACAGTTAAGAGTACTACGCATTGTAAATAACCAGCTGCTAAGGTGGAAGCAGCTCTGACACCACAAACAAAATATATATAAGAATCCTGTGGCTATGGGTTTACAGATCAGCTGATGTTCTGAGGGTTTTCTACCAGTTTGTTGTGCATGCTTTGCCTTACTCTGTTGGCTTTCACTTCTCTTATCATCCTATTTAGGCAGCTTAATGAGTCATACTTCAGCAACACTTCCACATGCATGCACAGAATTTCACCAGAAGGTCTGAATCTGATACAGATCTGAGGCCGAGGTGATTGTTTGTGGGATTACTCAGAAAAACTTTTCAGTTCATAAATAGGATGTGTTGTGAAATCACGGACATTTTGTAGAACCCCACTCGGTCGTTATTTAGAATCGAAGGGTTAATTTCACTCAAAAAGGAGCTCTAAATAAGTAAAGATCTTTTAACTGTTATATAATTTCTACAGTTTCCTACATTAAGTTTAAATCATTAAAAAAATGAAATAAAAATGTGCATTATTTGTTTCTTATAAGGAGTGATATACATGTAGGAGGTCATCATCATAGCAATGATGAACCTTGACAATGTGATAAAAACCAAATGAAAGCTGTTGAACTTTTTATACAAAGTAATAAAGAAACAGAAATAAACTAAAGTGATGTCTCCTATAAAATAAAATCAGATTATATTCTGAGATTGAGAGTCTTCATCTTTACTTGTTTGAAGCTTTAAGCTTCAGTCATGGATGGCAAAGACTTGGAGGAGTGTTTGAATGCCATTCAGGGTTCTGTTCAGAGGAAGAGTGTATCTTGGATCTATGTTGGCTGCTGCTCATAAAAGGGTCAGACAAAGGTAACCATGGATACACCGTCTTCCTATTTCACAACAACAGATAACTTCCTGTTGAATGAGCCATAGCTGTACTTTTGATTTTTGCAACATCTAAGTTTTTCATCCAAAAAGGCAGTGAGTCAGATCCTGGTGGGTTCATTCATAAATATACACCATGGTGTGATCTGTTCACATCACTGATGGTTTATTGCCACAGTTTAAACATAGAGTTTGCATATTGTTAACATTTTGTCATTTCACAAACTTCAGTTTTGGTAATATACACCTCGGCACTGTCAGCTCTTGAGGTTGGGGTGAAGTTTGTAAGAACTGTAAATGAGCTACCCTCATAAAGCCATGTTTTACCAAAAAGTTTTAAAATATAGCTCAAAGATAGTAAAATATGTCAATCATCAGGAAACCTGGCAGGTTGTTTGCATAAAAATATCAATCACTGGGGTGCAGATGACCTCGCAGTCTTAACACAGCCTTTATAGAGGTTATCATCCTTGTCGCGTATCCATGTGGTTGCTGGTTTAATTCCCAGCCTTGGTCCTCTGCTGTATGTCTTCCCCTACTCTTTATTTCTCACATTTTCTGTCTCCAGCTGTCCTTTCCATAAAAGGCAAAATGCTCAAAAATGTAATTGAAATATATATTTAACATCTGATTTTGGTAATACGAGGATCGAATTCTTCTACTTCAACTTTGCATGGAAAAGGGAAAGAGTCTGAGGTCATATCTTATGCAACTACTGAAGAACAAAGATCAACTTCACCATAAAAAATAAACCCTACAGGAGTATTTTGGTCATTTTTTGTGCTATAGTTGTTGCTGTACTTTAAACCGAATTACTAATACTGAGTAAACTGAATTTGAAGCTCCTGTGAGTAACTTTTGGTTTGTGGCTCTATTGGTCCTCTCTAAAGACAGTTCAACGGATCTCTTTGATGGTCTTGTTTGGGCATCATTATTACACAATCTTCTTCCTGTCTTTTTACACAGAAATGCAGGGGTGGAAAGTAACTTATTATATTTACTCATGTAAACTGAGAGGTTATTTTGTGCACTTGTACTTTTTTAAAGAAGTCATAAAGACCAGCATTTTCACTGGAAATTACTGTAAAATTGTTCCATTTTACATTGCATTAGTTACTGAGTGGTAACACAAATGTTTCAATTTACAAGTTTTCCATCAAGTCTGTATTCTGGTCAAAATATCTACTTACACTTAACTAAAGCTACATTTACAGACAGGTCCAAAAATAAACCGTATTTTAAGATATATCAGGCATAATTTTTGATAAACATTACATCCTGTTTCAAGAGGCTTATCAGCTTAAGCTTAAGAGCATTTCTGGGAAATTATGCTTTTACATCATTTGGAGGGACATTTCATATTCCCCCCAACCCTACCACCATGGGGTCCAAGTCAGTGGTAAGTGCTTTGAGAACATCTCAAATACTGAACATATTACTTGAACTTGTTTAGATTCACTGCTGGTTTTACTTTTACTCGAATATATCATTTCAGATGACGTATCTTTACTTGAGTGGAATATTTTTGTCCTCTTTCCTCCCTGATGAAATCTATTGATTTTTGAGAAATTTGGGCTGCCATTTCTTCAGTGTGCTTATCTGACATCTTTCATAAACCATATCTATTAATGCCTTTGGTCTTGGACGCACATCTATGTACTATTGCATCATACTGACTAATTGTTGTATTTCAGTTTTTAAACTCAAGAGGAGATAAAAAATCAGTAACTTCACATCCCTACAAGATTTTAGCTCTTATCTTTAAAGTAACGTTTTCACTTCACACCACGGTTGTAAGCCTCACATGGGAAGGTTCACTGCACCACATCAGTGCAGAACTCACTCATCAGGCAAAACAGCACCTGTCTGCAAGGAAGTAGTTAAACAAGGGGCTGTTTGCATGCTGGGGTATTTCCAGGAAACCACATCAGCCAACCGATGTGACTGTGGTCGAAGCTGTAGGTTGATGGCATAGCCCACGCACTACACTGCAGTCCCTCACTTGTTAAATGTCACCTCTGCCCTGCTGTATGTAATAACTACCAATTCCCCCCTTCTGTCACCAGAATATCTCCTCTAACTCCAAACTCCCCCCTCCCACTACATCATACTCTCCTCCTGTGTGTTTCTGTGTGGGAATGCGGGTTTGCTTGTACTTTTTAAGGGCATGACAGCAAAGATCAGAAATCTCAGCGTATGATTTTTTTTTGTATGTAAATCCGGAGATGACAGAAGAATAAAAAAAAAAACAAGAAAACAGAGGAAACAAGCTAACCTAGATGAGCATGGGAAAAAGGTGCACTCTAAACCTCAGAGATGAGATTATCTGATGACTTTTGTAGCACCCACAGTACATCCTACACTAGAGATGGATTCGGTGCCAACAGTGAGCAACTGTTTTTCAGCAGAAACCGCATTAAGCAACACAGGGCAGAGTAGTGAGAGATGCTGTAATAAGAGTGCAATGTTGAAATCCCAAACAGCACACACAAGCATACTGTATGTGCAGACACACACACACACACACACACACACACACACACACAAACACACATACATGCATAGGAATGACAAGAACCACAGTAGACAGATTTCAGGTTTCTTAATAAAAATAATTCATTTCAGGACGACATATAAATAATTATTGAATCACACAATACAGATATCTTGATATGAATAAATACTTAACAAATAAAACCAGGCTTTTTCATACAATACCCTATTGTCGAAAGATCACACAAAGAAACTTCCACACAGTTTGCATGTTTTGTTACACCTTCTGCTCTTAAACTGATGCTCTTCCTACTGCTGGAATGTCCCTAAGCGAGTCGGAGTACCATTCCTAAATGCCTCAACAGCTTAGACAAGTCATGTGCAACTTACGTGATCTCTCCCCAGTCAAACTCAGTCAAAACCGCCTAACATTGTTAAGAGGTCATGATGAGCTGACAGCTAATTGGCCTTTAATTGATTAAGGTTTGTCTAGAGGTGATTAAAGCACACAGAGATCTACGTACAGGCCGTCAACACCTGGGCTGGCCTGACAGCTTTAGATACAGTTGAATGAAAAGGCAGACCAAGAGCCTGTTTGTCTATGCTTCTCTAACTAGAGCCACAGATGGACATCTGCCTACAGCAGTAGAGTTCTTCAACAGAAGCACAAAGGGGAGTAACTGTTTCTGTTGAAATCACATTTAGGTTAGTCAGACAAATGTTTGAAGCTTGAGGTTATCTCTGTAGATAAATATATCTTTGTATTTGGATAAAATAGGGACTTGTGAGAGAAAGCGCCCATTTAGGGATTTCTAACATGAGAGCTTTATTACTAGTAGTCTGTGGGGACAGGATTGGAGATGTCTACCTGTGGTGCTCTAGTTAGTTCAGAATGGTCCAGGCTGGCCATTTTTAAGGAGGTAACAACAACTGTCTGGATGGCACATGTATTTTTTGGCAAAAAACAAAACCAAATATATCAAAATACATTAAAAAATCCCGAAAACAATAGAAAAAAAACAGGAATGTCAGTTTTGAGTATTCCAGGCGCACGCATAGGTGCGTTTTGTGTGTGTATGTGTGTGTGTTGCAGATGAGGCATCGGTTGGAAGGTCCTATAATATGGACCAAGATCCATATTCACAAAAGCATTTGATAGGTGGGGGCACTGATGCAGAATCCCTGATCAGGCCCCTCTGGTCCATAAAATTTCAATCACTACTTAAAGGCAAAACTTATCGAGGATCAGCCCCAATAGTGTGCTGTTGTATCAACAGCACAAACACATTCAGATAAAAGAGATTAGCCAAAGCAGGCAATGAGATTGCTCTATGAAGTTTTGAAATTGTCGCCTTGGCACATCCAGTGGGGTGGAGCAGAGAGGAATTCACCTCTACAGGTTTGTTTACCTGCGAATCTCCTCAGGCTGGGGTGGGGCGTACAATCTCACAGAGCTGTGTTTGCATGTGCATGTGTGTGTGCATATGTGTGCATGTGGTGGCAGGGTGGAAAGTCATCCAGACTTCTCACTTCATTGTGGTATTAGTTCTCTTTATAGCTGGCAATCCCCTTCTGACAGAACCGGAGCTACTACATTTGTGTGCGTATGTATAGGTTTGTGTATCTATGCATTTCTAGGTGCTTAAGTGATCAGTAAACAGGAAAACAATGTCCAAGGCAACAGATCTGTTTGGGGGTAGAGGAGAGGGAATAAAAGGAAGGACAGAGAGAATAGAAAGAGAATGAGTCCTGTCTCCACTGTGCTCTCTACGTTCTGTCCGCTGACACCGCCAGCATGTTGGCTACAATGGAGAGGCTTGTATTTCTGTACATGTAGCACCAAAACTAGCAGGGACCTGCCCTGTCTGTCTTGCACTCTTTCGACTCATGGTCTCACTTTCCATATCTTGCAATTTACCATGTTGTCTTTATATAAAAGATATGTAAAAATACTAAGGTAAATTTGGCTAAAAATATTAACAATTCTATTAACTGACTATGGAAGAAGTTCATACTTGACCATTATACAATATTGATTGTAAGAGCCTTTTTTGGCAATGATTCCTTTCTTTTTGGAGGAGGACGACTAAGATTAAAAAAATTGGTTTTAAGCACTTCGCTTGCTTTGCTTTGGCCCAGTGTAGCTCATTACTGCCGTGTTTTTCCATAGATTGGTTGCTGGGCTTCTCTAACTCCTGTATCCCTTGCTCTACAGAGCACTGCTAGACAGACAGGCAGACAGGTACACAGATGGGTTCAGACAGACAGACAGACGAGGGGTAAAAATCCTTGGCTGTGGTCTAAAAAGCAATGTCAGATGCTTCTTGTTATGTCAACATACAATCATTTTGTCCGGCACGATTCGATGCGTACCTTTAAATACATATTGTACACAAGAGTTAAGTCAGTTGCTCTGACATGTAGCCACACCTCTCACCGTGTAAGTGCACTGGGCACAGTAGATGATAATAATTGCACAAAGAGGTATTCTGGAGGCCATGTCTACTTTGAACACACACACACTCTCCCAACCTCCCTCCCACCCACCCCCCACGTACACACACTCTCTTCACATTCTACATGGGGGGAGGGTTGATTTTCAGGCCATAAGGTTACTAGTTAGTCACTAGCTAGTTAGTTAGTTGGTTAGTTAGTTTCAGAGGTGCATTGACTGGCATGGGGCGCCCACAGCAGGGCAGCAGCTCTAACGTGCTAGCAATGTGTCGTCACCGTTGTTTCGTACTTGGATGTGCATGTGGTCAGCCGCGGTAAATCTGTTTGAAGTGGTCACACTCGTTACAGTAGCCCTGTTTTTCTTGGTTGGCGTAGTGGTCACAGCCCTGCGTCCGGCACCGCTGCTTGGACTTTTCCTTGGGCGCCTGCGCCCGCCTGCCTGCCTCTCTGCCCTGGCCTCGTGTGTGGCACTCTGGGCAGAGGTCTGTGCAACCCGGAGACACATTACTGCAGCCACTCCGCCGGCACTGAGTCTGGGTTTGAGTCTGGGATTGCTGTGAAGATCTGGGTTTGACTGCTCGGTCACGCTGTTTGTGCGGATTGGCAAATGGGGTTGGGAAGAGAGAAAGAACAGAGGTCAATTAGGAACAGAAGAGCAACCGTAAGAACGTAAGAGTCTGGTAGAGAGCAAGAATCACAATATGAGCAAGAAAAGGTACAAAGGTGTAGTGGAGCAGGACAGGGGTGGCAGATACCTACCATGACCATAGGAGGGGAGTGTGGGGTGCGATGTGCCACCTGGTTGAGTCGTGCACTTTGCTCCTTGACATAGCACTTATCGCAATAACCCTCCAGCATCGCCTTGCCAACTGCACCACAGCCAGGCCCCCGACACCGTGACGCATTCTGAAAACCTGCCTCCAAACCGTGCCGGTTCTGGACTGGAGGAGGTGGAGGGGTCAAATCTGAAACGTAAGCAATGTCCAGTATAACTTTAGATGAATGAAAATAGAAATGCAAAACAAATGTATGATCAGCGGCTAAAGTCGGGTACACTGGGTCTGGTTCTGTGTCAGGACTTACGGTGGTTAGTCTGATAGTCTACGTAGCAAATAGTGCAGAAGCCCAACTTCTCTGGCGTCCCAAAGAACTGGCAGCCAGATCTTTTACAAGGTCGGGCCAGAGGGGCTTGCCAAGCTGAGGTGTGACCCGGGGTTAGGGTGAGGCACGGCCGCTCAGCATCCCTGGCCTGGGTCCAAGCCGAAGAAGAGGCCTCAGTCCTGGGGTTGTTCTGCTGTGGCTCTCCCCTCTCTGGAGCCTGCTGTCTTTGCATGCAGGGTGGACACAGGCCATTGAATACCCTGAACGCTTCCTGTCTGCACATACTGCAGCGCTCTGTCTCTGTCTCGCGACCCCCCCACTGCGACCAGCCAGAGCCCTGGCCCGGATGTGGGACTGCAGGCCCCCCATTGGGTCCTGGGAGTCCTGTGGCAGCAGTTCCACCTGCAGGGGGTCCATGGTTCTGCCTAGAGTTGAAGCAGCGCTCACAAAGTCCATCATGCTCCACACTGAGGGTGAAGAGGCAGCCGGGTGTCTTGCACTTCATGGCGTGAGTTTCACTGTACAAGCTGAGGCTGGGGGCCGTAGGTGGGGCTGAACGGGGGCTGGATAACGCCATCCCTCTCCCTGTTGAGGAGGACGGGGGGCTACTGCTTCGTGCTCCTCTGGAGCTCACCTCAGTCTCTGACCCCCCTATTACTCCAACCCCACCTTGTACCCCTCCTCCCTTGGTCTGCACTACACCCTCTATCCTCGTCCCTCCTCCAGTAGTGGCCTGCCGCTTCTCAAAGCACTCATGGCAATGAGGCTGCGTGTCCACAGAGACATAGAAGGTGCATCGCGGTGTGGCACAGCGGATCTCAATGAGGGAGAGCTGGGAGACAGAGAAGGGTGGTGGGCGCTGCGGCTGGGCAGCCCACGCCTGCTCCTTGTCCTCCTGCCAGCGCTGGTACTCATGGTTGACAAGCTGCAGGTAGTCCTCCATCAGGTTCATGTCCTCAGGAAGGTTCCCCTCATCCAGCCTTAGGACATAAACAGAGACAGACATATAATGATATATAATGTTTTTTTTTTCTTTTTCACTTATGTTCTAACAATAAAAACTGTGTCTACTGGTGTGCTGATAAATTTTCAATCATGTGATCATCAGAAATGAACTGTATTGGCTCATCACCATATAAATAAACTCCCTAAAAGAAGCAGAATTCAAATTATGGCAACTACAATGAGGACAACAGTCTTTAAACAATAAGAAAACACAGTTTATTAGTACCGTGCAGCATTGATGATCCGTGTAGCATCATAGCCCAAGCCTATGACAGGGATCTCTATCAGAAGAAGGTAGTCTTTGAGGAGCCTCTCTTTCTGCTGCTGTTCTTTTTCCATCAAGAAGTGAACCTTGAGCTCCTCAAAACCTCCTCGTCCTGGGTTTATCAGCGGTACCGCTCTGATCTCTGGGATATCAGATCAAGGTGTGACATAGAAAAAAAATACAGCATGAGGACTTCATGTCAGGCCGTTTCCATCTAAATTTGTTGTGTCAGCTGCATAACACCCGTCTCTGAGGGATTCCTACCTGGACCACTGTCTTTGATAGTGATGAGGGGGGCAAAGTGCTGGGAGTCGTAGCCAAGCACGATTGGGTATTTGTAGCACTCCGTGGGCGGCCAGTGTAGAGGCAGATAAATCCCACCCACATTCAGAGGAGAGATAGAGGAACCAGATTTCATACTCCTGACCACCTGGTCTGTAAAAAGAACAGTGGTATCAGAGTTACTGCTGGCATAAAAATAACAGATTTTCAAACACAATTTAGATATGTTATTATTGTACATGTTTTTTCCTTCAATCAAATTTCTCTAATTGGAACATTTCTTGACTAAAGAAATGTTTGCTAAATAACATGGACATAACAAAAACCATGAACAACTCAGAATGTCACCCTAATGTCCTACATCTCCTCAAAGAATAGACGCTTCTTTGGTGGTCAACAAAGAATTCACAACAACTAACAGCTAAATAGTTCAGGCATGTGGCTACGGTGATACAGTGCTTCTCTTTTTCACCTCAAAAGATGTTGAAATAAGACCAGCCAATATTTGACAGTAGAACAGAAGCAATAAACACACTTGTGGTCATTAAAGGCAGGTACCTGCGATGACGATGATGGGCCTGCGAAGAATATTGGACAGGACAAAGATGTGAATGTCCTCAAGAGAGTCAAACTGGAGGCCATTGCTACTGGAGACTGGAGACGCCATCTTCACGATCTTTTCCCACTCTTCTTCCCAATTCTGGAGACACACATACATGTACATTATTGATTTAAGCACATAGTATTGTTCATAAATATAATACAGTGCATTGAAAAGGTTCCTGCTGTTCATAGAACCTGATGCAAAGTAAGGGGAAAGACTTTTAACATCAAACTAGTCTGAGGGTCAGAAATCTGCACTTCTGGGGTCATACAAAGCTCTTCTGCACCCTCTCCAGTAGCTCAGAAAATCCATATCTTAAAAAATCATTTTAAAAGTTTTTAAATGTTCTCTCTGTTAAATGAGTGGCCCAAACAACAAATTATTACTATTTCTAAACTTTCATCACTTAAATGTTCATAGTTTCCTGAGACAGTACCAAACAGCTCAAAGTTACTGCCAGTAAGAGTGAATTCTTGCACGAAACCACAGATGTGACAACAAAACTTCCCAAAACCTGACAAACTCGTCTGTGAAACACATCATCCTTTTCCTGACAATTAGAACATGAAAATGTGTTCAAAGCTATTTCCATCTTCAGACCAGTGTACTGGAATCAACGCAGGCAGGTTTTCTCATCAATGACCTATATTTAAACCCTAAAACTGCTCCACCCTCATGACCAAGAGTTTGCAGACGAGTGTGAGGAACAAAGTGACATCTTACAGCCCTCATATCAAGAAAATGGGCAGCAGTGTTTGGAAACAGAAGTTGCATTACACAGTTTAGAAATCTGTTAATAGACCAACTTTTGCAGCTTGTTCGCCTGATTTCATTCACTGATCTCTCCCTGATCTCGCTAGTTTTATGCTTTTTAAGTCTGAAAGAGATTACCTAACACCTTTTTTGTAGTTGGTGAAAGTTTTATTGAATTATATTTAAAACAACATCCGGCTGACAGTGAGCAAAGTCTACATTATTGTGTTTGTATTGTATTTAATCATTATTCGCACAAAGAGAAGGACTTAAAGTTCGTCAGCATTCACAAGTCTGAAGTTTTTTGCAAAATTGACAGCAAGCTAAAATCTGTCTAATCTCATCTCCTCTCTGTCTCATAGTCAGCATTCCTGTGAGGTTATTTTCACAAATGTTCAGTTTTGTGTTTGGCTGAAAATAGCATTTCCTAAAAGTAAAACACGTACAGTTTTCTTTCTTCTACTTCTAATATATGATTTTACTTCAATGTAAATGCCGGGTTAATGTAACGACCTTAGAGCTGCACTTTGAAGCTTGGTCAAAGATCTACCATGTCTACATACAGAGACTTAAAAGGCTATCTTAAGTTCATTAAAAGTAGACAAGAATGGCTCCTTTCATGGAAAAGGTTCTTGACCCCTGATCTAGTCTGATCTTCATACCATGGTGGTGTATCGGAGTCCAGTCTGCGTGAACTCCTGGGACTGGAGCAGCTCAGCCTGGAAACGAGCTCTGAAGACGCCGGTGTCAGTCTCTTTCAAGACACCATGGAGAGCTTTTCGAAGCACCAGGTCGGTGTCCTGAACGCCCAGCATGTACTGAGAGGCCGCATGGAGCAAACAGTTCCCATCTCCTACAGACACATACAGAAGAGGCGGGCAAACACAGATGTTATCAGTACAGACAGCTAATTTTACACAAGAGACAGTAGCCCACTTCCTAAATAGTGTAGGGGAGCATGCACACACACACACACACACACACACACACGCCGCTCAACAGACACTATCAGTGTCTATACACAGAAGCGTAACAAAACCCTGGGGAATTCCAGGCCGCCGGGTCAGTTGTTGCACTAGACTATTATATGACCCTTACATATGTGAGAGTGCACACAAATTTCAGTCAAAGATCTGTTTTGACCCCGCTGGTCCCAGAAAAGTTATTCTCAGTGTACGTGAAAAACACGTTTTAGTAATGAATCTCTTTTTGATGCTTTTATAGTTTTGTGTCAAAGAAAACTGCTGACTTTATAAAAGGAAAACATTTTTTAAAGGACATTTTTGCACATTTAAGAGATCTGGAGCAACTTAAACCCTGGAATTTTATTTTGTCTCCAATGGCAGCACTGGGTCTTTTTCTCATTGTGAAACAGAAGAGCCCATGTGTATCTATGTGTGAAGCAATGAAAAACCCTGTTGCCACACTAAACACAGGAATTTCCCGCTGCTTACTTTTGTGCATTTGTGTGTTCCCCTTCTATGATCCTAACTCATCAATGCTACTCTGCTAGTCCTGGACTTTCCACAGGGGCGGGGCTTGGACAGGATGGAATGTTATTTCTTTAACTACTGCTATCAACACCCGATGTAAGCTGTGATTAATGCGCACTGAGAGAACATGTCCTCTCACAGGTATACAAATGTACTGTCTTGTCTGGCTTTATGATCTGCGTTTCTTTGTTCAATAGAGTTTCCCTAAAAATAGTTCACATGCAACTGAACTTAGCACAGTAACAGCTAGTTCATCAAAACCACAGCTAAGCAAATGTTAGCCTGCGATAGACAAACTGTAAAATGAGATAAGCCAGGGGGGTTGAGTATCTGACCAAACTGTTTTCCTCATAATAGTAGTATGAGTGGCGCCAGATGGCTGTAACGTACAGTTGTTTCCATTCATCCCAAGCAACATCCAACTGTACTTTGAGAAAAACAAAAAAACATCTACTGCTTTTACACACTCTCAATCTCTACCTCATGTTGCATTTCGACTCTCTTGCATCACTCTCGACAAAAAAACATCAAATGCCGAGTTCTCTAGTGAGAAAAAGGTATCCTCAAGAGTTACATACACAGACACACAAAAAGTGGGCACAAACACCCAAACTCGCCATCATCATCAGATGCTCTTGTGCACAAAGACATACAGACTTTTGACCCTGAAATGAGCTGCCTGATGACTAAAGATGAAAGACGGTCTGCTGGTCCCATCTGTCTAAATATAGACACTTCCTCTGTGGCAAGCTGGGACACTTCCTGAAAACACACCGGCAGACGACCACGCTTAAGCCTTTTTTTGGTCGCCATCCAGGTGACACTTACTGCAAGTTTGCAATGTTGTCCTTTCCAATCACTTATCATCAACCGGCCCACTCTTTGTACACAAGCTGTCTAATAGGACCAGTCCAACAAAAAAAGCACCGGCCAAGACTATTTTTGCTGGAGAAATGGAGTTCTTTCAAATTGACGGCATGTTTTACCAGATTATGTTGAAACCTTATCATGAAGAGAAACCTAACTTATACCATAAAAACTGTGGCAGTGAGTGTGTGTGTATGTGTGTGTCCTCTTTTCTAACACAGTATGTAGAGTCAGTGTATTGCAGCTGAACAAATCCTGCCTGTTGGGGACACATGACAGACATGGGATGCAGTTTGGGAAAAACCCTCGGATGCATCGTAGTCGTTCAAGACAGAGGAGGCACTGAATCTCAATAAGAGAGCTCTTCGCTGGATGTGAAAGTAGCATGAAACAGGAAGAAAGTCGTATTTGTTGTCCTGGGAATGTGCAGTTAATGAAGCTGTTCAGGGAAGATGAGAGGATTTAGGGTAAGATAGAAACCAGCTTAAATGCTCTTTAAGTTCAGACAGACAGTCAACTTGTGTCGGGTTAGGATTCTGTGAAGCCTGATTAATCTGACCTGCTCTGACTGGACGTCCACTGATGGACCTCTGTATGTATGTATATATGTGTGTATGTGTGTGTGTGTCTGCTGAGCTCCAGTGACTCAGCAGCAGTCAGTCAGTCCTCTATGTGTGTGTATGTGTGTGTGTGTTGTCCGTCCTCTGCTCAAAGTCACGTCTGGGTCCTTCAGAGTTAGACGCTCAGGCTCTAAAATCTGTCTCATCTTTATGACATCATCTTCACAAGCCAGGAAATTCCATCCAGGTTACTTACTGGCAGCAGAAGTCAGACGTGTTTGTCATCAGTTTGGGGTCTTTCTGAAGAGGAACTACAGGTTAAATTACTGTAATGACTTTAGGTACGGGATGTGGACCGGCAGGGGGCCCCTCACAAAGTCTGTCACAATGTACAGAAATCACACAAGGGGCCACAAAACATGCCCTCATCCTTCCAGTTAGTAAAACTCAGATGAGATCTATGTAGAAATTTTTTTATCACTTCCTTTGCAAAAAACAGAAAACACTTCCCCTAGAGACGTACATGTTTACGTCAAACTTGTAACATAGCTTGATTTCCGCTTTCTTTTTCTATTGTGAATGTCGCACATGATGTTTTGGTTTAAAGACTCTATTTTCCCCTCGTCTAAAAATAGTCCTTATACGCACAGCAGATGTGTTGAAGTTAGTGGAATTTAAATCTAAAAGAGCCTGCTGAGACAATAACACACAGTTGCATTTGGTCACACTTGATTCATCTCATAAGGAGAATAAACCTGCATCAGTCATTCGGGCTGGTGTGAAACTTTAAGTGAAATAAACCAAGATGTTTTGAGAATCACTGACATTCACACTCTGAACACACACACACACACACACATACACCCACGCAGAAAAAGCGGGGACATACCCCTTAGGGTGTAAACGAAAACCTGTGGAAATACTCGTGTTTCAAACATCATTAACAGTAAATAAGAGTAAAACATGTGATGTCAAGAATTTCCCAGCACAGAGCTGTGATCAGAAGTAATCATGTTTAAATGTTTGCCTATTCTGGGATGTTCCCATGTTACGACATCCACGTAAGAGAAAACATGACTTAGCTAAGAAGCGCTCAGCCAGACCAGCACAGTAAAAACCAAAGGGGGGCTGCTAAATGAGTGTTTATGAAAGCGGAACCTGCGTCCCTCCATTGTTGTCATTTACAGTAACCCTGCTTGTGAGTAATGACATCTTAGTTTTTACACATAAGGTAGCCCTGACTCATAAAAATGCACCTCCTCTGTCATAGAAAATGAAACAAAAGCAGAGCGTATTCTGATACTTGAGCGGCGAGGATTTCTACAGCTTTTGAAATCAAGTTACCAAAGTTTGAAGTAGCATCTGTGAAAAATTTGTCGAATTTTTCCTCCTTGCATAATCAGTATTTATAAATGTGAAATCAGTTTTACATAAATTAGATAAAACACCTAAAAACCTCACCAATCCTGTTACAAGTTAAAATCCCCCAAAAAACTCCTCCTAAACTTTTTCTTACCATTGGTCCGTAATGGCACCATCTTCTTCACCTCCCGACACCAGTTCAGCTTCTTCTCCTGCTCCAGTGAGGCCTGCATGGCTCGGTCCAGGATGGCGGCCTGCACCACCTCCCTGAAGGCTTGCGGGAAGTGGTTCATGGCGATCATCTCAAGCGTGTACCGGTGCATCCCCCGCAGGTGGTGCATCAGGCCGCCGCTGGCAGCCGGCTTGACCACGTCGTTGGGCACTCGCTGTCGAATCTTCACCGCCTTCAGCAGGTTGGACACAAACAGGAATTTGGGGAGGAAGTTCTGACCCTGCGACATGGCGGATGTGTGAAGGCTGGGTGGATGGACGGAGGGGAGGAATAGGAACGAGGAGGAGGAGGAAAGGAGGAGGAGGCACCAACCACCTACTGAACAACGTGGTTACTGGAGGGAGAGAAGAGGAGTGGATGTTATTACAGAGCAAAGTACACTAGAAATAATAGTGCAGAGACTGGTGGGAAATTCTTAGTGGAGAATCCCCTTCCTCATTAATTGAGACTCAAGGCACAACTTAATTTACAGTGTGTCTGGGAAAGCACCCAACGCGCACACACACACACACTCACGCAGGATCACTGCACTGTGGAGGCTGTTTGGCGCTGTGGACTCGAGATGGCAACAGATCATGACGGGCAAAATGCAACAAACACACAGATAGGACCCTTTTCTATATTGCTCTATTTCTATTCAAATCTCATCTCTTTTCAGTCCTGATGGTATTTGATTTCCCTCCAAAACAGGGGATCCTAGTGTCCCTGTAAAGCTTTAGGTCTACCTTGAGAAAACTGGTGCTTTCCAAACTGTAACTTACAGCCAGCCGGGGCAGCACAGGAAGGTCACACCGGCTAAAACCCAAGGCTTCTTTCCGACCGCTCAACTCACAGTTTGAAACAGAGTTTAAGTTTGTAAAACCTGTCTGAAAACCCACTTTTATCCCTTGGCTTTTGACCCAGCATAAGACGGCTTTTGTTTTATTGTCTTTTTATTGTTTTTATTATACTTTAAACCAACTATTTATTGTTGTTTTATGTTTTTATGTAATTATGTACAGTACTTTGTGTCAGCTTTGGTCGTATTTAAAGTGCTCTATAAATAAAGTTGAGTTGAGAGTTTGGATTAGTTAGATATTACCAGACACTTGTGCAAACTGATACTGAGGAAGTGTTTTGTTCCCTTTCATACAGCTAAGCAGGTCAATCATAAGCTTTACCTGAATAAAAGCATGTATTCTAGCTTTCACTAAGGTTTGTGCTCGGTTTGATCAGTACTTACACAACTTTGGGTTTCTCACAAGTATTGCAAAAGCTTAAAGTTACCACCACCCATTGGGATTTAAAGAAGCATTTCACTCAAAAGACAAGTGACAGCACATTCACAGAGTACAGGAAGTAGAAAAGTAATGGTCAGCAAGTGAGGCCTAGAGTTTCTGCTGACTTTTTAACTCCAGACAACCTCCTCCTAAGAGCTGCCAGTCCGTGTTGTAGTTGACAGTCACTCCACCTGAGTACTTGGCTAATAACAGTGGCCTCTGTGTCTTTACTATCCAAACAGCAGCAGCAGCAGCAGCAGCAGCAGGTGCAACAACAGGCTAGGCCATGCTAAAAGGCTACATAAGAGGGGCTGGTAGACAACAGACACCTGGACGTGAGTGAGTGAGCGTGTTGTCATTAATCGCTGTTTGGTGTGTCAGCACCGCTGGAAGACTTGGAGGCAGACACACACACACACAGCGAGAGAGGGGGTCTCAGTGGTGGACTCTGCGGTTTAGGTTGGCTGGTTACACAAAAACACAATAACAGGAGACTTTGCTGACGTTCAAGGCTTACGTAATTCCAATGACAACTACCTTTGAAACAATGTAGGCTTCAATAGCATCTCACAGCGCGGGGATCGACTCGGTGCGGCGCCGCAAACGCTCCATTTAGCCGTAAAAATGCCCTGTTAAGCGCTCGAGGGTGACGTCTTTGTAAACAATGGCTGTCAAAGCCACTGTCGTGAGCAGGCTTCAAGCTTCCTCCATGTCCCCCCTCCTAGAAACACGACCATACATTACCCAAGGCCCAGATGTGATGTGCCCACAGAGTCTCAGCTCTCTTGTAAAGGAGAAATGCTGTCCACATGTGGACAGGGAGGGAGGACGAGTGTCTTACCTGTGTTAATATGTCGGGGTAATAACAAAGCCCTGCCGGATGCTCAGGCTAGTCCTCTCTCAGCCACTTCACTCAGCCTCACCGCAGCGGTGCTCGGCGCCATTCATCCTCCTCTTTCCTTCACTATTAGAGCTAATTTGGAGCTCTCGCTGCTTGCGAAGCCTCTCAAAAGAGTACACACGTCCGCAAACGATAGTTAAAAAAAAGAAAAGCCAAAGTCAAGGGGATTTCCACACGGGGACTTTCCGTCCACCCATTTTCCTCTCTCTCTCTCTCTCTCTCTCTCTCTCACAGTCACAACCTATGCAGTTGCAGCTCCTCGCCGCCAGGGGGAGCGCTCTCTATCTGTCTGACTCAATACTGAAAAGCACATCCCACCTACTGTGCACAAAGGAGCGTCACTGAGGGAGACAGACAGGTCGCGTCATACCCTATTTCATGAGACAGCCTCAGAAATAAATCATTATCTTGCTATGAGTCCAGCCACAGCAAACGAGTGGGGAGAAAGAAAGAAAAACTAATCACTAACCTGATAAGTACAGACTTGGACTTGCTGACTAACTGAATGGATGCATGTGTTTTTATGAATGTAGGGGTGAGCACAGGTATTGCAATGATGATGTGATACTGTTTTGACTACTAGGAAATTATGTTGGTGGAGGTAAAACAGACTTTCCTGCTCACACTCAAAAAATTGTGTCTTGCAAAAGGACACGTCAGAAGGAGATAAGGGTTTTTCTGCTGCATACTTGATGCATTGGTGCAACTTTCCTGCTCACTCACTGCTCTTTCTCTTGAAATTGTTGTCAGTTTTTTCATGCACATCCAAGCCCACAGCCCACATGCAAAAATTTGACCCCGAGTCTCAGCAGGGAGATATTTACACAAGACTATTATATTTTGTACTATACTGTACATGAAAACAAGTAACACTGACGTTCTTTCTATGCTTTCTTTATTAAATACATCCAGAACTATTCACCAAAAAGGAAACACATTTTAAGCAATGAGTGAAGCCCTTAAATAATGTAATTATGAGCATTAAAACCAGATACATAGTGCATTTATTCACCAAAATACTGTTTAACCTAATATTCCTAATGATTTGTAACTAAACATATAATCATCAATAATAGAACAATCACAGTCACCTGACATCCAGTCTGTTACAGCCCCCCAGCTAAAAAAAAATCACATCATTGCCCTTTAGTTGTGTTTTCCAGGATGGAGTCATCAGTATTTTACAGACTGAGCATGTGACAGGGGTATATGAGGTTAAAATGTTATGAACTGTATGTCTGAGGAATTGCAAAACATTTTGGCCTGTCTTTTGAGAAAAGAGATTCAGCTGATTGTTTTTATCACTCATTAATCTGCAAATTATGACCTCCAGTAACATCAAGATATCCTGCCAACAGTTTAATCAAAGTGAGAAAAACATTACATTATTTCCTGTTGAGAATCTAAAAGTACCTAATGTTTTGTTTTGAATCATGAGTTGATGATGATTTAACTTTCTTGATGATTTAGTAGCCATGTAAGCTTGTAAAGCCCGTTTTAAATCATCACTGATTTAAAAAAGCAGGGATTTGGTGATGGTTTTCGCAACAACACGACCTCCAGATTTAAATATCACAAATTCTTCAAATAAATAAAAATTTAAAGTAGAAACTTTGCATTTCATTCACACTGAGAGAAAACATCCAGATTTACAGCTTTCAGTGACTTTTTTCTTATCTCCAGCCAGTTATCCAAGACATGCTGACAAACCCCAGCGCTGATTCACTCTCTACTTTCTATTTTCTTTTCTTTTCCCTCTGGAAAGACTCCTTGGTTTTCACTCTGGGAACCACAGTTTCCTTTCTACCTACATGTTTGGGGAACAGAAAGCATAGTAATCACCTGACAGCCTATATCTATGAGGAATGAGCCCAATGAGTCAGCCTAAACAAACCTTTTACGAATCAAAACGGGCTGTTTGCTTTTGAGACCTATATAATTGGCTCAGCTCAGACTTGGTTCCTGAATTGTCCTCTATCAGACCATAAACAATAATAATTTAACTCCTCAAACTTTTACAGGTTCCTCTCTGGGCTGTATCGTCTGAGTCACAGGTTTGGGATTATCAGTACAAGATGGCTGTGGAAGCGGTGAATTAAAACACCAAAGTCATCAGCAGCCGGGAAACCCCACAAAGAACAATAGACCCACTTACGTTGTTCCAAATCATCAGGTTGATATGAGTAATCCTAAAAGTTTCTTGATCATTTACAACATCATGACTGATACAACAAACATGAACTGACCAGAGCTGTGTGTGTGGAATTTTTATTTAATGAACTCCTTTATCCTTAAACAACAAATTTACTTTTATAACCTCAGGCCGATAAAATGTGACTTTACTGTTGATTTTTCACCATTATAGCACAGATACTGATTCCCATTCATTTAAATAATAGAGAAATCACGTTGGAAGATGACTAACTGCAGGTAGATCTAATTACCTGTGGGGAAATCTCAAGTATGTGTCACCTTTCTCTTCTACTCATCACATTCGGAGGGACGTGTCACACTGTTGCTTTACCGCATTCACTTGACAGTCATACGGGTCTTTTCATCAAACTTTGAATTATTTAAAGCTCCTGTTAGGAATTTTCAGCTAGTTATGAAACAGGCTGAAAGTAATCCCGATGTCTCTGTATGACCTGAGAGAATAACATCAGTGACAAAATCGATCATTTCTCAAATGAAAGTGTCAAAAGTAATCCCTAAAGCTTCTGCTGCAGGGTAGGTGTTAGACCAAAAGGTTTCAGGCCATATTTTTACTTTTTTTCCAAGGCAAAAAAAACAGCGTGGAACAGCATCTACATTTTAAATATCTGAAATTGGTACAAAGGGGAAGGTCTAAGCCACACAGCTGAGGAAACAACCCCGGTCAAAAAATTCCTCAAAGAAGCTTTAAAATGAATTTCTTTGTCATAGGGGTTGTGGGGAATATCTGATATTTAGTTCATGATGTATGGATCACACTTTTTTTTTTTTTTTTTTAAACTCTGTGAAATATAGTTTCTATTAGATTCTTTGAGAGATGAAATGTCATTGAATGAATTCCTATAGGTTTTATTTGGAAATCTAATTTTAATAAAATCACAGCCACTGGTCAACATTCGTGGAATATCAGAGAAGACAAAGATTGTGGGACGCTTGAAGTCCTCTAATCAAACATAATATGGAGTTTAAATGGCTTTAGTTATGGTATAAATTGTTTTAGGGTTATTGATACAGACATATTTTTGCACATATGTCTTCATGTGACAGGAGATAGACATTGCTGCTGACTAAGTGACACAGAACATTCATGTTTAAGAAGCTTTTTAGAAGTTGAACACAGTATATGACTAATTACGAAGGGAGCTATGAAATGTGTGTCAACATTGTCACGTTGGGTGTTCTGTGATTTGGTCCTGGGTTTTATTATGCCTCTGTATCTCTTTGTGTAACATCACAGTTTAGAGAGGAAGCAAGTCAAAGGTGAGATGTTCAGGTTCATGGCGTAAAAGAGAAGTTTGAGTCACCAATCACGATACCACAATGTAAATGTTAAGCAAAAAATAAAGCTGACATTTTTATGAGTGGTATTCTGATGCTGCACTTTTTTCCACAGCACATGATGTGTGTTAAATGTTGATGTTGTGTCTTGTGACTGGGTTTTTCTAGTGTCATGTATAGTTTGCACCTGTGATTAAATTCAATATGTCACACGTCCGAGCACACACTCACCCCTGATTTGCTCTATAGAAAACATGAAGCTAAGAAAATATCAGTTAAAAAATTATCCCAAATTTGTCCCAGTTTTGTACAGTGTGTGATAAACATTAACAGAAACTGTTTAATAAACAGTTTGGGGTGTTACTTGGCTTATAGCAGCACAGCACATTCTCCTCCTCCTCTTCTTTTATCAGTCAGGGGTTTAAGAAAATCACATTTAAATCCAGACACTTCGCATAAATACACTGGCTGTCTACCTCCAGAGTCATACATTTCTTGTGTTCTGACAGTGTGGCCCGTCCCTCATAGTGACTTATGAACCCAGATCATTTCCATCAGAGCCCCAAAAGCCTCTGGCCCTGTCCTGATATGAGTCGACAGAGGAGTGGGGAGAACCCTTCAGGGAGAACTGAGATGGGGAGCGTCTCAACGCTCCTCAGGCTCCTCTTTTGGGTGGAAAGTACCTCAGAGGCAAATTGAAACCCACCCCCACTGAAGATCACTTTGCACAATTTTGAGTAGGGGTTAGGGCAAAGAACAGCTTCACAATGATTAAGTTCCATGAGTCTTATTTTTAGGGACACCTAACTGAAGACACCTCCAAAGTTAGTCTGGAAAGAGAGATATATGTGGGTTGGACAGGTGGAAAAAAAAACTTAAGAAGCTGATTTTCTGATCAAGCCTGACCTCTTGTGGCAAACATGCAGCAGTACAGAGAAAAGGGAAACAAAGCCCTGAGAATAGAAGAACAACAGACTGTGAGACTGTAGACAATTTTAATCTGGGTAAGAATTAGATTCAGAAGTACTTGATGATCATGCCGGTTGAATATGGCATGAACAGTGGCCAGAGAGTTGATGAATTAATAAAGTAAGTTTTCTAAATATTTGAAATAGCACTCAGATAATTTTAATGATAGTTTTCAAAGTTAAAGTATATTACAGCCATGCAGATGCATTTTAAAAAAAAATTAGAAATGTCCAAAATTAATTCATTTTATTCCCATAATTTACTTCAAAAAGTGGAACTTCCAAAAATGTTCACATTTATCACAAAGTGATTTAAAAAAAAAAAAAAGTTTGAATCTTATTGGTTAAAGCTTACTGCTCACAAAAATCAACAATCCACATTCTCAAAACATTAGACTATTGTCAAAAAAGAGCTCCAAGAATTAACCCAAGTGTCTCACCTGGGCAAAGAAGAAGAACTGGACTATTCAATGCATCATGAAGTGCTATAAGAAGAATATATGTTTTATCTCTCATCATTAAGTGTTGTCCTCGTGAGTAAGTCAAAAATGTACTTTTCTGCATTTTATCTCTGATCTGATGCTCTATATAAACTGGGAATAGCAGGAATATAACTCTAAACTTAAATTGTTTTTCATTCATTGGTTTAGTGGTCTAAAAGTATTTGAATAATTTATCGTGTCTATATGCAGGACAAGGTTTGTAAATTAGGAATTCTACATTTTTTCACATTTGAAAAAAAGTATTTTTACTTATTTTGAGTGTGAATAAATTGACCACATATGTTACATAATGTAATTTTTCTTTTTAAACAAGTAATTTCTTTTATTCAATGTGAGCTTACTTCAAGTGATCTTAGCTAGCCTGGGCTGACTGTTTGCCCCAGAGGCTCCCGACATGTTTCAGATTGTGCTTCTTGGTCTCTTGTATGTTGGATATACCGTATACCTGTGGTTGCTGGGGGTGTGTCAAGCTCAAACATGTTCTTCTGTAGAGTGAACATTAAAAAGGATTTCTGCTCTGTGATTCACTGAAAAATGAAGTTTGATATGGTCAAATCAAGAACAGGGTATTAGCTGTACTTTTTCTTCTATGTCTGTCCTTTCACCTATTGCTGAACTTTATTGTAGTTTCTCCCCCTTTCAAAAGTAAAAAGACTTACTTTCCTGCCTCTCTCTTTCTCTTTCTCTCTCTCTTCCACTGTATTTCTCACCCACATGTCATTTTCCGTCTCTCCACGCCTCTCCCAGAGAAAGCAGAGCTGTCAGCACACGCTGAGCAAAGTCTGATTCTCACTGAGGCCTGTCCTGGGTGGGGCTCTCTCTGAGGGTGTGTGTGGATCATAAATCATGACTCACACATGTAGAGCTGTGTGTTGTTTATTAACTGTTTTATTCTGTGTGGATGCATTATGCATGACAGTGGTAACAGTATGAGAACAGTATGAGAACAGTACAACCTCATACGGCTGGGTTATGTGTGTGACCTCGCTGACTTTTCAAATAACACGTTAAAAAATACATAAAAATTAGCATCTGTTTTGATATCCAGATAATCTGAGGTGTTCCATAGATTTTATTTTCAAGCTGGGAAACGGGAAATTTTAACATTCATACCTCAGAATGCAAAGCCACAACTATATGATAAAATTGGAACAGCATATACATACAAAATCCTACATCTTTCCATGCTTTTCTCTTACTTTTAATAGATCCATACAGATTCTTCTGATGCTCTCCCTCTGAAGTAGACGTGGTCACTTTATTGTCAGATATCAGTCAGGAAGCAGAGCCAATTCACAAAAGAAGCTTTTTATTCGATAAAAATACACAGACTACCAAAAATAATCACTTTATACTACAGCAGAAGAACAGCTGGATGATTTACAGAGGTGGATGAATGTTACCAGGACATTCCCCACAGTACAGTTTGTACCCTTACAGTTACTGGTAATGTCTGAAAATGCTGGCGTTGGAAGCAAATTTAATGCCTGTGAAGAGAAGAGCAACTTTTCATCTCATGTTTGAAGTTTGCAGGTTGATATTCCTCTCAAGAAAAACCTACCTGAAACTGCTCACTTTGTCAATTAGATTCCTCTGAATAATAAGATAATTGTTGTTTATGCAGAAACTGTAAACACTCCAAGTCAGACAATAAATCAGAAGTTTGGGGAGCGAATGTCACTTTTTTTATTACCTTATTTATATTAGAACTTAGAACTCTGTAATGCAATGAACATGATCATTTGGTCTTGTTTGGGCATGAATTGAGATGTAACATGTGCAGAGGTGAAACTGATGACTAGGGTTAAGCATGAGTCAATAGAACCAGAACGGCTGGTTTGATAGGACGCTCATGAATTCAGCAACACAACACTGAAGACGCTAAGGCACAAGTTTATCACACAGTATGTTCGAAGATTGGTCTCAGTTTCACAACAGTCTAGCGGATGGTTTGCAAAACTTGGGAAGGCTTTTAAAAAAATACATGATTGGTCATTTATCTGTGAATGAAAATACCTTTAAATCTCAAATCCCTCAGAAAACACTCAGTAAAAGTACACACCTTCTTAGAGGCAAAAGAACATATTGTTCCCTTTGAACCAAAACATTGACATCTTTGTTGAACAAGGGAGCTCATAGTCCAATAAAATTTTGAATGCGGGATTATTTCTTGACATTTTGGTCATTTTAACCCCATGGTGAGAAATTGGTCTCCAACTAGAGAAAAAAACACCCAAAAATGACTTAGTGGGTCTATTTTCTCCACTTGCTTGTGACAGGTTAATAATGGAAACGTATGAAAAATGGATCTTAGTTGGTTTTCAACTAAAAGGCAACACAGAAACAACAACTCTAGTAATGTCACACAACAATCACATCCTTATGTCTACCTACTAGTCGTATCATCATTCTGTGTTCAGAACAAATGCAAAGACAGCAAAGCAAACTCCCACACTTATTCCCCTTTTGGTAATCAGTTAATAAAAACACAAACTTTGAAGACAAACAGCAAGTTAGGATTATCCAAAAACACATTAAAGGTGCAAACACAACTTGAAACTACATGTACATTTTTTTTTTATATGTAGGTAGATTACATTCAAGCCGAGCTTCCTTCTTACCTCATGCACAGCAACGCAAAGAAGAAAGAAAAAGACACACAAATGAAAAAAAAAAAAACAGGATGGACAACAAATAATAGGTTATTATTCCTTATGCATCCTGTGCAAAAATATGAGTCTCAATGTTGTGAGGAGTTCTAAAAACAGCTCAGGCGAAAGCAAAGCTTTACACATAATTACATCCCTTAGGTTAAGTGCACTTGGGTGATCTTGCATTGGAAACCGCTGATAAAAAAAAAAAATACAGACAATGTGAGGAATATGTCCTTGATGCACTCAATCGCAGTATGTTAAAACACACAATAATGAAAAAATCTTTCTAAGATGCTGACTTAACCTAAAATAGACACTGTTCTATGGTTCTATTGGAGCAGAGGCAACATCCAATCACAGTCCACTTCCACAGAGACTCATCCCCTACGTCTGATCTTCCTCTTGGATGGCCATTGTCTGGTGAACAGTGCAGCGTAGAAATGTTCACAGATCTAGATCCAGCCCAGAGTGACTAGTAGAAATGGTTGTAACTGTAACTGGGTGTGCGTGCAGGTCTTTGTCTTTAAGCAGAGGAGTAGATGTATTTGGTCTTGGCCAGGCCGGTCAGCTCGTCCTCGTAGCGTGGCAGACAGCAGAAGAGGATCGCACAGCCAATGCAGAGGAGGGTGGCGCCCCAGCCGAAGCCGTACGCCCAGGTGTAGTAATAGTTGCCCTCAAAGATCATCTTGTTGAATTCCACAGGGTAGATGATGAGAGCAATGATCTGGATGATGACTGCAGGAAAAAAGGAGGGGAGGGAAGAGAGGTTGGTCACACACTTCAACAGAATTACGTTGGGAGTTGATTTTACTTTGAAACTAACAAAAAGAAAGGAAAATAAAATTCCTGCTTGGTCCCACACCCAGATGACGAAACACAATTCAGTGACACTAACAGCACTCTGTGAAAGATACCTCCACATGTAAGTGTTAGGAGTTACATCAACATATCAACATCTGTGAGATGAAGATGAGTCAGTGCTTGCAGACGGGGATCAGATCAGATCTCTGATGCACAGAGCTGATACTGGTTGTTTGTAAGAATTTCCAGACAGAGATTCTCAAAAAAGGTGTGACACTGTTTTGTCCTTTAGCGCACTCCTCCATGAGAGTCATCACAATGTATTTTGCATTATCCTTTCTGCCTTAAAGCCTAGGCAGGGCAGGGCAGTGAGTCAGGTGTGATACTTCTCTTGAAAACTACCTCTGAGGATCTCTGGATTTTCCATAAATACTTCACATTGTAGCAGCTAAAATATAAAAACACAAGGACATTAAAAAGCCTCTTTAATGCACAATAAATAAATTCTGTCACTAAGGGTTTCTCCTTAAGGGTAGCAGTTTGATGGCATTAAGAAGAATGGGATAGCTTGGGTTGTTTATCACCCGTCATGTTCTGTGTGTTAATGCTTATTCACATCATGTTAACTCATTTTTATGCCCAAATAGTCAAGAGTAATAAAATAAGATAAGATGTTCCTTTAATAGTCCTGCAGGGGGAAATTCCAAATTTACAGCCGCATACAGACATACACAGAGATATTAAAGAATAAAGAAACTTAGATTTAAGTTAAGAAAAAAGAAAAAGATATGTACATGAGTCATATTTACATGTGTACAGAATATGAATAATGATATGGTTTATTGCACGCTGAGGTTTCTGTTGTGGAGTCTGACGGCTGCAGGAAGGAATGACCTGCGATACCTCTCCGTCACACACTTCGGGTGGAGCATCCTGTCCCTTATGTTAGCTAATATTAAAAGTTTTCAGTGCCCTTCTCACTCTCTGATTCATCCTCTAGTGTCTCTTCTGTTTCCACAGGGACTGATTCAAATGCACTGTTTGAACAGGTTTGATCTCAGTTTGCAGTTTTAGTCATTTCAACATAGAAATCCAAAACTTTGAATTCTTGATTCAACGGTGCCATCATTTTCTTCATACAATAGTTGAAGCTTTCTGTGATACATGATATGTTTAAGATACCACAGTACAGCTTACTCTGCATGTTTTCCTCTTCCTGTATAAACTGGCTATTGAAATCAGTATATTGATTAGCATTTAGTGTAGCCAGTTGTGCATTGCATCTCACTGACAACCCAAAACATCTGGCTGGTTTATAGATCCAGTGTGGTATGAAGAGGGAGATGAAAAGCTACAGGGCCTCCCGACCTACAACATGCTTTTTTCTTTGTTAGGTTTTTTGTTTCATTTTTGACAGTTGCACAAAATAAGTAAGAAACAGCGAATTTTTCCATCTTTGGCATTTATCCGAAAGGCTTTAGCACCAAGAAGAACAAGTACGCACTTAGAAGTGTTTGCCTCTAATCAGCCAAAATGGGTGATTGCTGTAGGATGGATAAATGGAAACAAACCTAACTTTAAAGGTGCTAAGAGTCAATTTAGAGAATTTTATGATTAGGTCTAAAGTTAATAAAGTTTTTCATTAAGGCGAACCAACACAAACAAAGATATGATCAGTCTATATAAATAACTGTGGTACAGTGATCTTGCTTTATGTCTCTGATCCTCCGATCAAAGACATGAGAATTTTCTTCATAAATGAGCAGATGAGATTAAAGAGATTAAAGATGGAAACTGTAACCACACTTCTGATCTGATTTATTCTTTCTAATCTCTCTTCGTTCTCCTTTCATGACTGAAACAAAAGGTCGTTTAGTGCAAACTGTGGGTGACACACGTCAAATCACTCTCAAACTCCAGCGGTGAAAAATGCACTTAACTCCCTCTGGCACCTTTACACTGACATCACAGAACACCTGATTTATGTTTGTTGTTCTACTACACCTGGCTCTGTCCCATACTCTCAAACTTTGTGTTGTGAGTCAGTCAGACGAACATACCAAACCGGCTGTTCCCACGGTAACACCACACTGAAGACCTCATTAGTTTACTCTTATAATGAAAGTCTACTAAACTCTCGGCTTCCTCCTCTCCCTTTTCCTCAAACTCCCTTTTTTTCATAACCTTTTACTCATCATCCTGCTAAGACTCTTTGGGATATCACTCCCACTTTTCTTTTACACCAAAGCTTGAATTTCTTGCTTAACTTTGACTCCTTTATGCTGACACACACCCATAACCTTTACCTCAACTCCTCTGTCAGTTGAAACTCTAACACACACACATCCTCAAAACTATAAACCTCTATTATTCATGGAAATATTAATCACTTCTTCCTTTCTAGTTCACCTGGTTTAGTTTTATACTAAAAGTGACTTTTACACTTCCAAGTCGATTCATTTAATGGGCAGGTTCAGCTTCTCCTAAAGAAAACTCCCATGATACATTAACTGGTTGTCAACTCAAATCATAAACATGTAAAGCCATGACTATTTTATTCAAACAAGCTCCTTTTATAGCTTCTTGTATTATGAGAACATATAATAGTTAATCCGGTTATCTTATATTTAAGGAAAAAAAGGGTTTTGTAAAAAAAAAAAAAAAAAAAAAGGTTTATAATAATAAAAAATAAGTACTAGTTTTTGCATTTGTCCAAAAAATATCTGACATATCAGCAACTGTGCCGCAAAATCCTTACTCTGCTATGGTTACATTAAAAAAACAGCAAGGTTTAAGTTTGACAATGAATGAGCCTTCATAACTTTCCCCTTAGCACCTAACCACGGAGGTAAAGTGACAAAATTCTAGTTCTTATAGTTGTTATAGTTCTTTTCTTATCATCCGCCCCAGGGCTGCTCCAGGAGAGTGCAGTGAAATTATGAGGAGTCATCAAAATGCAGGTATATACATGTTCTCAGAGGGTTGACTACCACATACTGTAGGACTGGAGGCATGTCTGTTATCAGTGTCTGTAAATCTTACTGCCCGTTAAGCTGTTTCAACCCACTTCACTTTCAAGTCAGGTAGGTTGAAGTGCAACCAAAACAGAGTCATTCTAGATACCACACTTCACTTGATCTGATTTAAACTTGGTTATTTTCAAAGGTAATCATTGTATGATGCCTTATTCTCTGTTTTTGTCAGCTCCCTTTGATTCTTTTGCAGCATTTTCACCTAATTTCCAAGCAATTTCACACATGACAAAATTGGGTGTACTGGGGAATAACAATCCCCCCCAAAAAAATGTGTATATCTTACCAACAATGATCAGCAGCACTCCTATGAGGGGCAGCAGGCTGATATTGAGTGAGCAGCACAGAGCCACACAGGAGATGATGAAAGCGACGATGAGGATGAGGAGGCCGATGATCATCAGAGCAGCCACTGCCTGAGCCCAAGCTAGAGTCAGGAAACAAATATACAGATTAACAAACAGGCCTTACTGAAGTCTATATAAACATTATTCTCGAACTGTTTTTCTACTTTTATTCAGATAAGATCTTGGTGGTAAAAATGTCTTAATTGAGTAAGTGACAGTATCTTTAAGCATATTATCTCTGATTAAGTTCTGCTTTTCAATGTGGCGACTTTGTTGTTGACAAGTCATTAAAACCTTTCAGTCAGGATAGAGATATAGCCAAGTGAAGGTCGAAACTTGGCAGAATAGTGATTTACGTCAAGGAGTATTATATCCACTTATTCTATATAGTCTGAATTCTTTAGACAATGTATCACAGCATCAACATTTTAAAGTGCCCTTCCTAAACTTATAAAACCCAACCTTGTGTCGTTCATGAGTGGAGGCACAGTACAGAAAGCAACAACTGCACAGTATATTACATTTTAAGTCAAAACAAACTGTTATCATTCCTGTCTGTTTAGTTGGAAAACTGTTTTGGCATATTTCTGGTAAAAAATGAGCAGTGTGTTGTGCAATGTGTCCTCAAAAAATGCAGCAGCTCACTCTCATTAGTAACATCAACTCATGAAGTCACATTCCACCAGTGAAGTTCAGGCTGATATCGAGAGAGAGGGGCGGGGGTGCAGCTGTCGACTTGCTGCTAACACCCAACTCACTCTTAACAGCACTTTCACTCATTCACTCTGTAACTGTGCAGACATGGCCTCTGTAATTACAAGAAACAGAGTCTAAAACAGGCAGGTCTTAGCATGAGTGGCTGTATTTGTCAAATGTTCTATATATTTTCAGACGTGGGTTTTTGTTTTCATAGTTTATTAAATTCTCTTTGCAAAGGACTAAAATATGGGCAAAGACTTTCACTGAGACTCATATTAGTCTGCTGTTTAGTTTACTAATCAGACTGACACGGGCCATTGTATTTACTTATCACAAGTTCATAAGTTTGAATGGTAAAAGAAAAGTCAATGCACACTAAGGTTTTTCTTCACCTGTTACACCCAACTCTTTGTAACTGGATAAGACAACACCCTAAATTATTCATACCTCTATGTGAGAGTGTGTGTGTGTTCAGGTAATGCCCTACCCGCCTCAGCCTGAGGTACATCTGTCATTATGCACACACTGACACACGCCAGACTAGTTCAACCAGTTCTGTTTTAAGCCACACACCTCATTATGCTGAGTGGCAACCACGGTCACCAACACCACATTTCATTCTGGTGTACTTTTATCATCTTCCTATCAGGACCAGAATAATAAACCCGGACCTATCCAAAGAATTATTAACTCACCACCTCTGTAATGATTGGACAGAGCTTCAGAGTTTGTTTATCTGACCCCCCCCCGCTTAAGATTAGATTGGTCATAAACAAAGCGGTTGGATGATATCAGCCAGCCTGGGAGAGTCAGACTTTCCCACAAAAATAACTGCAGCAAAGCGGGTATCAGTAAAAAGCACTCATGTCAGTGCAGAAATCAGCTAGGCTGTAATTATCCTGCAGTCTCTCTTAAGGTTTAGTCCTTTGTGTTTGAAATATAAGGTTGTCATTCCTCCACATGGATAGCATTCAGAGGTACCCCAACAAAAAGATGATCTGTGAAGCTGTGAATTTAAGATTATTTGAATAAGTCTGTCTTCACTATTAGGACTTAGAGGCATCAACTGAATTCTGATCATAGGCAAAGAAAGTTATTGCGTGTCATTTCTGTAGCCAGGAGTCTAACAAAAGATGAAGTTTGATAACTATAAAGCAGTGTGGAAGCTGTTGTCTTTATTATGAAACATCCAGTGTTTTCCCCTTTAAAGGCAGGCAGATAAAAATAAAAAAACACCATCACTCATAAAACAATGTCAGAAAAATCTTACTAATCATATAACACAGGTCTTTTCTTTTCTTACATTTTTTTGCAAGGATTACATTATACAGCTGTTAATCAGCTTCCATTCACTTTTCTAAGGTTCAAATCTGCATATATAGTGCATGGCCATAATGGAGGATGTCTTCATGTCACTGCCTTGTTGTATCTTTTGTGTCTTTATTAACCAGGGTTACTTCTATGGAGACACTAGCAGCACAGCTTGTGTCCGTTTCCAGCTTGGGAAGAGTCTATCTCTTGTGAGCCCTGATCTGATACTTGTAATTCATGTAAAAATGTGGAAAACTGCTGCTTGGTGTTGCTGCACTGCTTCTTTGTTCCCCTTTTAAGTTGCTTTAACATTTTAAAAAGGTGTATGACCACTGACTCCCTGTCCCAGTAACTCTTACTTAAAAGCATCCAGCTGTAACACCAGTCTACCTGATCTGATTGGAGAGAAAGGGTTTCATCACTGCACTTTTACATAACCACCGTCTTTAACTTTTGTGTTTGCAGAAAGTACCTATGCAGACTCAGACTCTGCTATGTGCACTGCATAAAGCTCTGAACCTGACAAGTGTATTTTTCTCTGAAGCATCCAGGGCAGCTGTGGTTTTACAGTCAAGGATAATACTCATCAAAAGCTCGTAGAAAAAAAAGGCTTTCATGCAGGCACTGGGGATCAAAATGACACTGTAAACTTTCCCTGGAAGGACTTTAATGGGACACCTGCCCAGCTAGGAGCTCTCAGAGCAGTTCCTCACAGTTTTACGGTTTAATTCATGCTTTACAAAGTCCCTTTTCAACAACTACTTGCTTTGCTGAGAAAGATAGAGAAATCTGTGCACAAGTTAACAAGCCAGTCTGGAATTCAAGAGGAGCCAAGTTCGAAAGACAGTGAAAGTGGTGTTAAACTGTGTGAGTTTAACAAGTGTGAGCATGCTTAAGACTGCATACAGTAGTTTTCAGTAATGAAACAATTCATCTTCAGCAGATAATTCACTTTTTAACAATAATTTGACTGTTCCACGTGAATAAAGCTTCTTTTAAGCAAAACTGCTGAAGAGATGTGAGGATTTGATCTCTTTTTTTTTTAAAGTTTGGTCAACATTGATCCAATAAGTTTGTATTCTGGACTCTTGGTTAAACTAAGTGAGTAGGGATGCACAGAATAATCAGCAAAGTATCAGTATAGGCAGATGATAGCTTGAAAAGTTGGAATCAGTAAAACTTTTCATATCTGGCAGTTTGATTATAGACCAGAACAGTGTTTTATTAAATATCACGTGAATGTGTGGAGTATTTTTATGTTGTTTGTAATTGAGTGAAATGCTGTTTGGTTTGATATCAGCATCAGTTTCTCTTGTCTTCTCTAAAATGTCAAATCAATGAACTTCTTTTTTCAAACGAATCAGTTGAGATGATAAAAATGTAGATGCTTCTTCACTACGACCGTTGCAGCTCTTTTAATTGTGAACTGTAATGTTCACAGGGAGGCTCAGTGGCTCAGTGGTCGAGTGGGTTATCTCTTAATTAGAGGGTTCAACCCCAGCTCCCCCATCACAGGCCGGAGTATTCTTGGGCAAGACACTGAATCCCAAACATAGCTAGTGGTGTGTGAGTGAATATGAATGGATTCAGCCTACCATAGCAACCTCTGCCATTAGTGCATGAATGTGGTGTGACTGGGTGAATGATGTGAGCAGTGTTTAAGTGCTTCAAGTGGTCAGAAAGACTAAAAAACACAAGTACAAGTCAGTTTAGCATATATATTGTGTGATACAGTTAAGTTTTAAAACTCAAAGTATCTAAACAGAGGGCTGTTCAAATCATCAAATATCGGATGTTTCTTGAGGATTTTGCTCCAATTAGGTAGGGATATTTCTTATTGTCTCATGGCGTTGTCTCTGTGCCATGTGAACGCTCCATGTGCTATGCCAATTACACCTCATTCAGAAACATTAAACATGTTTGTTCCTGTAGTTCTCAGGAAAGCGTCAGCCTTCCTTTTTGTACAGGGAGTGGCTTTACAACAATGACAGGGAGGCTGTTCAGTCTGATTCAAATATTCACAGCGTCCCACGACCACACACATCCACTTTGCTGGCTCAGTTTGCCTCCTCAGTTTTCAGTTGAACACCCTATTACCACAAGTATCTGGGCCAGAGCTGTGACACAAGAACGCTCAGGGAAACCTCGGGGCAAAAATGCGTCCAAAGATTGAGGCAGCAGTGTTCTGGCAGCAGAGATCGACTTTTGTTTAGCAGCAGCAGTCATGCTGGGACAAAAAGAGACTCCAAAACAGAAGCAACAAACAGTTCAGACAAAGAAGGAAACTACAGGAAATGGTTTGAAATGTCAAAAAAGACAATAAAAGGACAGAAAATATAGAAGAAAATGTCCTTGCAGTGTACATGAAGGATTTGTGGCACTGCTTTTATAACTTTGAGAACTACAAAAAAGTGTTGCCCTCTTTTTTAAAGTCAGAGTGGTTACAATCTGTTAATTGTAAATCCATGTGTGTCCAAGAATGTCTACTTTGAAGAGTACTATTCAACTTTTGTTGAAACTTAGTCTTGAAATTCTCAAGCTGCAATTTAGACAAGAGAGGTTAAGCCAGTTTTGACAGGATTTTATGTAACTGACAAAAAATGATACTTTGAAATGTGAAAATTCAAGCACAACAACCTATAAGTGAGAAAAATATATTAACTTTACAAAGTCATATCTTATGAAACCAATCAAAGAAAAACCCTGAATCTTTAGCTATCATGTTGGACCATGAAAAGCTTCTGATTCTCATTATCGAGATGCTGAAACCATCAAATATTTGCATATTTAAAACTAAGACTTAAATATTTAAGTTTCTAGCAGCCAAAAAAAAAAGGTTTAAATGTGAAAGAATATTTGGGTCAGCTGAGCTTAGATAACAGATTTAAGTGTAACATTGCTTTTTATACAAGCAACAGTGATGTTTAAAAAGAAGGAATAAAGTGGTCTAAAGTGAATCAAATCAAGGATAGGAAGAGTTTTAAATGTAGTCAGCGTCTCTGTTACACTTTTTTCAGATCACAGCATGGAACTTTGTGCTATCAGAGTTTCCTTTATAGGGGCTGATGAGGGACAACAATACAGTCTTTGTTTGAGACCGTAGGTGTAGAATAACAGAAATACAACCTGAGAACAGGTACACAGAGAGACAACAGAGCTTTACTCAGTTTAAGTTATTGTTTAACATCATTTCAGACTTTAAAATGTGTGTCACTGAGATCTTGTATCTTTGGTTTAAACTACAATGGCAAAGAAAAGCTAAAAAGGCCTGACAGGAAAACACACCTCGAAAGGCATCTACAAATCCTTTTTTTAAGTACAGGCCATAGATCATTTAAAATATTCAACATCTGCTAGAGGTTTATTCCCCATGCCAACTTTTTTTCAACACACTGTGAGCAGTTCTGGGGGAATAAAGTGTATATAGCTACAAGAAAGGTAAAATATTATGGTACAGATAAATTTTAAAGGTGCAAAAACTCTACTGGCTCAGGACACTATCACTGTTTTCCAAATGAAATTTTATCCAATGTAAATTATCATTAGAGTAGTCCACCACCATTTATATAAAGGTCAAACAAAAGGTGAAATGTAGCCTCTTATTTCCTTACAGTAACTAGTCTAAGAATTAGCCACAGGTTTCATAACAGCTGTGATCAGTTTTAATAGTTTTTAATGAAAACTGCACCTGTTGTTTTGTTTAAAGCTCCATAAGTTTCAAGATTTTAAATGGTTCAATTTTTGGGGTTACCGAGTGAGGAAAATACCTCACTAGGTCCCCTTCAGGAGTGTCTTTTTTAGTTGTATTTTTGGAGGGAAATACTAATGTTGTGGGTCATTAAAGGCCATTTAGACACTTTGGTATACTTGTTTTTGCCCCTCATTAGATCAACATTAAAACAGATTGTGAGCAGGAGATATTTCAAGAAAGTCAAGTCCTGAAGTGACCATAACAACACCTGATACAGCTACAGTCCAACACCTGTAGTCAATCTCTCTTCTTCCTACTGTATTTACTCAGGCTGGAGGTAATATAGGCGGTCTCTGACCAAAGTTCAGGCTGAAGAGAGGGCTGTGGTAGGCCTTTCTTTCCCTTTTAGCCTGGACTTTGGGGCCACTATCAGAGGTCAAGACCTTTTATATCCTACTGTTGAATTTTACAACCTTGGCCAAATAAAACTATAGAAACAGCTCATGTAAACAACACATTTCACTTGTTTTTGGCCCATATGCTCTACTGTTCATGGTCCCATTCTGTCCATGTCCTGTATCTGACACTTACAGTGCTCCATGAGTGACTTGCAGTCCCAGTTGTCATTCCTGCCTCGGCACACGTCCCACATACTGGCATAGTGGGACTTGGCGTCCTCGTCCTCCACCCATCCTGATGTAGCCGCGATGGCGATTATGTCAAAAATAATGGCGAAAAGCAGCAGCAGGGGTACAATCCACCTGCACCGGGGGTAGGCGATCCCACAGCGGAACATGACCGATGATCGGAGCGTGTGGACCGAGGGGCAGAGCAAGGACGAGGTGTGGGAAAGCGCGGAGGTATCTGACCGATTAGACGGTGTGTTGCTCGTCTTTTCAGCAAAAGACAGTCAGCAAGTAGGTGTGGTGTGAATACCAGATAACAACCCCACCCGAGTGTGTAATGCAAACCTGTTTTAGGACCTGAAGGGCTGGGCTTGTCTGGCTGTGAGCGCTGAGTCAAGCCCAGCCCCACTGACTGTGTCATATTACACACACAAACTTAAAACCGCCTATTAAAACCAGAAGTCTCTCCAATACTTGAATGTATGACATGATAAGTGTTAGGAGTAAGTTACAACAGGTAGATTTCGACTTGGTTGTGATTGGTCAGAGTGTGACAAACAGGGCAGAGAAAGAGAAACGAGGTAGATTGTGAAATGATGCAGTGAAAGAAAAAGCCGCAAGATGGCAGTCGAGTTCACAATAAGTGGATCTGTGGCTCAAATTACAGTTTTTCTCAGTCGCTTTGGTGCATTAATTCTCAGACCAGAATCAAAGTTCTCACAACTATTATTTCACCCTCCACAACATTGAGTCATTTGTGCACATCATTCCTCTGAACAAATTATAAATGCTCTTAGACATGTATCAGTTACTTTCATACAATTCTCTGCTGTTTTATAACATTATCATTTGCTCATGTCATGTCAATCAAAATGAAACATACTAATGAATGCTGAATAGTAATTTCCTTCAAAACTAATAGTCCCCATTTCATCGCTTGAGTCATTACATAAAAAATGGCTGAATTACAGTTTTTCTGATTCACTTTGGTGTATTTCTCACATCACAATTAACATTTGCACAACAGTTAGTGCATTTCTCAGAACAATTAGTCATGCAAAACCGGGTGGATTTTTACATTGTACAATTACTTAACTTTCAAAAGCAAAGAAACATTTGCTAAAAATTATACCAAAGATAAAAGACGGACAGAAAAAAATAACAGGCTCAGGAAATTTGTTTTTCACATCTTAAGACCCTTCAGTATTCTTACCATTGACCATAAAACATTTGCTTTACTGGATGAACCCCTTAATCCATGGACGTTAACATGCACTATTGGCATTGCAAAGTGAGTAAAAGTTATCCTACTGAGTGTTTGCTGTCAAATGTCCCCATTTTCTGAAGTAATTTTAATACATTTTTATACTCAGGCACTAAGACAGGCTGTTATCACTCTCATATAAAAAAGGACAAAGATTCCAAATTTACAAAAGTTAGCACCCATCCATTGTCTGCTTTGTGCAGATGTCTACTTCTTGGCTGAGGTGTTAGCAAAATGCTTTAAATTAGTCATGATAACATCATTTCCATAAACTAAACAGTGTCTGCCAAGGACAGATTTTTATCATGACACCCTGCAGAACTGCTTGTTTTGATTTATTTGCATTCAAGTTTGATCTGGCATTTGAAAATCATGGCCAGTAATTCAACCCCAAACTATTTTGCTTTGAGAGAGTAATAATAAGTCCCACATTTTAGGTTTTGCCTTGAGTGCTTACTTGTTAAAAGTCACTTCCAGATTGATCTGGTGGTTTAATAAAATCATGACCCCTGCTGGAAAAAGACAGCTGGAACACTCTCCCTCTGCAAGGAAAGCCTCTGATCAGGATGCCAACCAAGGACCAGCTCGCTGTGAGGCGACAGTAACAATCCAGCCTGGAAAGGTTTTATTAACGATGCAACTGAAAGAGGGTTTGTGGGGCCTTAAATATATCACAATGCATTTGTTTAATAAGGAGAGGATACAACCTAACCTACTAGTGTAAAACAAATTTTCAGTATAAGGAAGATAAATAAGAGTATTAACAATCATATGATTTGTTTAAATAGGATTTATTTTATTTGAGCTGTGCCAACTCACATACATACAACAACAATGCTAAAACTACACAGTAAAATGAGAAAAAAATGAGGTATGATGCCTTCAGGGAGATTTCTGACTTTGATATTTAAAAAAAAAAAGTCAAAAATTTAATTGCATTTTGCTCATTACTTGTGAAACTTAACAGTTTTTGCTGAAGATGTCTTTCTGACACATTCGCATAAACCAGGGAGTCATTACACTGGCATCGAAAAATACAGGTTTGAAAGAATAAAACAACTCAACTTGAGTTGAATCACTGAGTGCAATTTCTTTTGTTTTAAAATATAGAGGAATTAAATCCACATTGATCAAGTCACAGAGTTACGCTCAGAGCCTACCAGCAGTAGAAGTGAGAAGAGTGTCACTTTGATATATCTACTTTCATACTTTGTTCTTTTACATGGCCTGTCTACCTAATCCAATGTAGGTACTATGTTTGGACTCATACTGCCTCCTGTCACAGGGTAGCATATTTTCACAACCAGCCTTAACTTCCCATCTGGATTGAGAAAGGAAAATTGCTTATGTTACTCAAGTTCTCACTCCTACCTAAAAAAAAGTCACCAAGAACCAGTTTGTGAGAAATCCGAGGAAATAATCCAGCCTCAACCACTCTTTTCTTTGCTTCTTTGCTTCCTCAGGAATACACTTACTAAATATTTGGTGACATGCAATTTTAATGATTGCCCCTTTGTGATAAAAAGAAGTATCTATTGGATCATCGAGAAATGTTGTGGCAACGTAACCCTAAAACCCAGTCAGGGATCTCGAGAGGTGTTTGCTCTTAAAAACTGCGGTGAAAAACTTGGTAAATTAAGGTTCAAATTTAATCTTTGAACTACTGATGTTGTCCTGGCAGTGAACAAATCATGTTTTCTCTTTGGTTTTATCAAATAATAGTCAGATAAATACAATCAGTTCAGGAATGATTATAAAAAACTACTTGCAGTTGTAATAGAAATTTCAGGCTTAGACGAAAAAAAGGCTGTTCCTACTGAGCTGGACTGAAGCAGTAGAAGTCTATAAGTCTATAATCAAAAATAAAAAATGGTGTGGAACTGGAACCGGCTTTGTCCAGAAGAAACTAGACAAATAGGTTAAATTATTCTTTCCTTCGGCCTAAAATTAGCAGTACCATGCTTTAAGTCCCTGTAGGTGCTGTAGTGAGACTGCTTTCATTCGATTTATGCAGCTGACAGCCTTGGTGACATGCATTGTCAGCTCGAATTAGACCACTTGAGAAAGTTTTTTTCCCTTTTTTCCTGCTCTGCTTCCTTTCTTTGTGTCCTCAGATTTCATTCTGCATACGTGCTGATTCACATTCAAGTACAGAACAAATAGTGCAGTTTTGACTGAGTTGACAGAGGCTACCTCTAAAAAGACTAATATGTGACTGACATAAAATATAACCCCTGAAATGAGTCAGACTTCACGCCCTTAAAAGCGTAAGAAAATGTTTGATTACAATTTTCTGCTTCTGACCGCATTCATTTTTCAAAACTATTCAATCCCACAGATCTCTGTAACTGAAAAACTTTGGCTGTAACATCTCACCTCCTCCCTGAATCATCAAAGTGCAGGTTCAGTGCTACCCCTGCTGCTGCTGGAGGGTCTGAAGTCCTGGCAAATTACAACCAGTCTGTACAAGTTCAATATGACCACCAAGAAGTTCTTGATAGCGAAGAAAATGAGCATCTGGTGAAAGACTTTGAAGGATGTCATGACGATGAGCCTAACGACCAAAAAAGGTCCATCCTGGATAAACAAGGCCTCCACAATGTTCCACATGTCGGTGCTGTGTTTGGTTAGAAGGGAAACCTCCTGGGCCTCCAGCTCATCCTCACTGTCTGGTTTGGAGTTCACCACTACAAGAAAACAAATAGAAAAAAATGTTATTAAGTAGAAATAATAATTTCATTTCTTTTCACTCTTAGCTGTAATGATTTACTGTTTTTATTAAATGATTGGCTTTTGTTGTGATGGAGCCAAGCTGCCTCAAACCTCGGAGCTGAGTCCCTAAACAAGAAAAGAGAAAAATGAGCAACCTGCTGAATTAATTTGCCTCTGCAGTTGTTTTGACCTGGATAGTAGAAAAAACTAAGTGGAGACAGAGGCAACAAATTAACTTCATTACAATCTCAGTTCCCAGCAGCTGTTATGATAAGTGCACCCTGCTTTATTGCTTTCAACCTGCCGACAGTTTTCATGTCTACGAATAATACCTGCTGAAATACTCGTCCATACTTTTGCAGTTCAAGTCAAACTCTAAAAATGAGGATTAAATCATATCATGTCAGTCATATCATTTTATCATCATTTTCTAAACCCATTCATGCAATAAACAGGGGCATGCCCAGACTTTTTGGACTGAGGTGGTCTACTAGGGCACTAGCTCATCCAGTGGGAACACCAAGTATGTGTGGGCAAAGACACGAATGAATGAATCTCCACAAACTATATCTACCTAAACTTCTAACACCAAATAATCATGTAGATACTATATTCCTGAGAAAAAAAATAACCTTCAGTGCACCAGAAAAGTAACGTAAATCTTCTTGGCTTGATTCAAGGACTCAGTAATTGTTTGCCCAAAGTAACAACTTCAAATACTTTAAAACAGCAAGCTAACTCCTGCACACAAACTGTACAAAATGCATCAGTTGGCATTGTTTATAGTGTGAAAATAGATTTGTAAGTATCAATACAAGAAAATGTGCTAATGCTACTAGCAGGATGTTCTGAAGTGACTGTTTTCTCGGTAACATTTCAGTTTCAACCGACCAGTCCAAATATAAGAAAACACCCAGAAAACAGAAAATTTGGCACAATTCACCTTTCAAGGCTAAATACAGGACACACTGTCTGTAAGTAAACAATGGGGATCTGGTTTTGCTGAGCTTGGCTAACAATAGAGAGCTAGCACCACCAGCCCTCTGAGTACTGCCAAATCACACCATGCTACATGATACCATCTGTCACGCATGCTTGTTTACATCCAGAGAGTAGGGGGGCGTCATGGCAGAAGTCATTGTTGAGCTCCAGCTCCAGCTCCAGCTAGTGGCAGGTGGCAGGGGGTCGCCTTGTACACAACATATGACTGACATTCTGCGTCTACTAAAATGAGAGCATCAGTTAACTGGCTGGGTTCTATAGAGTTGCCTACTCTTGATTTGAGACATACTCGACTCGGGAGAGAGGGATGCAATTTTATGGTAATAAATTCCTGTGAGCTTGTTCTCTATATTTTCCACAGGGATGTTTGTGAAGTAAAAGGCAAATAACTTTGGATTTCAAAACCCTGTCTGTACCGTTTACAGTTTACACTGGGGGAATCAGACTACCAATTTTGTGACAGCTGGGCTACCTCTCAGGACTGATAAAGATTTTGATACTCATCTAAAGCTCCAGCACAGCTACTACACAGACCTACAGTAACTTCACTCGGCTTTTCCTGAACAAAAATTAACCTTACGACTCTGAACATGTGGCACCTGTGAGTCAACGCTTGCTTGTGTTTGTGCACTATTCAAACATGCTGGCAGTAACTGCAGGGTCATACTAACAGACTGACACACCCACATAAGTGAACACTAACACACACTATGTGTGCTTCACTTGTAAACACAACAGAGCTCTGTCCACTCAAGCTCTAAGTGCTCTAAATGCACTATGAGAGAAGAGCTGCACATGAAAGTAGCGTTTGTAAATTATTGAAGGTTGGATTATGAATAATAGACAACATTAATGAGATTTGTGGTTTACATTATTTCCTATACTCACTCATAACTTCAAAAAATCCTCTAGTTTGGCTGTTTTTTTGCCAAACTATCTTTCATCAGCCCCGCTTTCTCAGTCAAACATAATTTAAGTATAGAACTGTAAGACTAGATTTCACCCCATGGGTTGTCAACACTTATACAAACTTCTCAAACACTTCCTTTCTGTTGGTTTTCCATTTTTTGTGAGTCTATTTTAGAAGCATTTATCTGAGGGACATTCTCATATTCCTAATAAAAGCCCCTGTGTTGTTTTTTTTTTCTTGGGAATTGAAAACAGATTCTTGAGTTACTGATTTGACAAGACTGGAGATAATGGGGGAAGTGATTTCAGCCAAACTGTTTACTTTCAGCCCTGGCCTGGACGCTGCTGACTTTACTGATGTTTTTCCCCATTTCTAAACACACTGTTTAAACGGGCCGTCACTGGACTGGTGTAATGCACGATGACAACAGCTGCATTTTAAGTTGTAACAGCTTTGAAAAAGCAAAGCACACAAATTTTGGGTATAACACACAAACACACTAACCGGCCAGATGTAAGGGGAACTGCAACATGCTCCAAGTCCATACAGCAAGGATGATGTAGACCAGCTGGAAACTGTTTCCCCTGGAAAAGCAGCCAGAGTTAGTCCCATTAGATCATAAAATGTTGCAGGGAAGCTGCTTTGGAAATAATTTAAAGGGATATGACTTTTGGATACAGACTGAGTAACATCACTTTACAAATACTGTTGGGAAACAGGGTTAGAACATACTGATACACAAACACAAAAAAAGCACGTACATACATACACAATGACTCAATGTATGGCTAAAAAAACAGTAGGAGAAGTCACCCACTTGACATCCGACATAGTCTCACTGGTGAATTCCAGGATGTCTGCTGCAGTGCCGACAAAAATAAGGAGTAGCTGCGATAGCTCTTCACGTGTGACCCCACCACCCAGAGGAAGGAGCCACTTTCCCACAATTAGGAGGATAAGCAGGATCTGATGAAGAGCCAGGATCCAGTCGTTTGAACAGACGTCTGATAAAACCTGATTGATATTCTGGGGAAAGCAAAGAGAAAAAAAATTATTTCTTCGATGACAATTTAAGAGTTTTTTTTTAATCAAGCTAGTTGGGAGACGTTGGATTGTCAGAAAGTGCTGCCGACCTTTAATTGCTGTGGTTAACAGTTTCTGTGTAAGAGGGGTCAGGGGGACTTCACTTTAAATTGAGAAGACAGCTGATGAGAGACAGGAAATGACAGGAGTAGAGACGGGGGAAGACGAGCAGCAAAGGGTCATGGCCAGAAATCGAACCAGCAACTGCTGTGGTGAGGACTACAGTTTCTATAAGTGGGGCACTTAGACCGCAAGATCATCAGTGCCTGTAACAGTTTATGTTTGATACTATTCCAGTAATAAATCCCTACTTCACTGAATATTTGTGTATATTTCAGATTAAAAATAATCGTTGCTGTCCAAACAAAATAAATCAAAAAGGAAAGTCTTGTGAGAACATTTTTCTGTGAACAAATCCAATAAAAATTACAAAAGTAATGTCCTCTGGTCACCTCTCAGTACTTTTAAATAACATCAGCCTGAAGTCCACACATTTTTACAGATACATTGGCAACAAAGATGCATTTTCATTAAAAAAAAAAAAAGGATTAAATTCTTAAAATATGGAGATTATTTGCAGGGACACTGGAACAGGTAAATTGTGCCCCTTTTGCAGACCATTTTTCAGATATAACACTGAAAAAAACCTCCTGGTACTTGAAAACAGTATAGATCCACTGATTCAATGTCATCATTTTTGACCAAGAAAATAATAAAAACACCACCATATTTGGCCCGAGAAAGCTCCATTATGCTGCAAATCTTCAACATTGTTTTTCTAGCTTGAACACTGTAAAGGGCTGAGATCTGCAGCCTGTTTTTAGAGGTGCGCCCACCAAATTTGACTTTAAATCTTCCCAGTGAAATGGGTGTGGTAGGGGTCTTAGTGTTTATAAAAGCACTTGAAAAGGTCTGCTATCGATGCTTTCAGTCACACTGGTTATCAGACTCTTCTCTGCAGGGAAGAGGATCCAATATCCAATATCCAAAACAGCGGACAGGATCATGACAGACTGAGAGAAGGTCCAAAAAGAAAAATAGGAAACCAAGTTAAAAAAAGGAAAAGCTTTCTAACTTTACAACAAGTACAACAGCAAACATTCCAGAGATGTGGAGGGATAGAAACTCATTAGAGCCACAAGCAGCACATAGAGGATTGGTGCACACTGAGGGGCTGCAGGTTCTAGTATGTGGAGCAGCCCCAGTTTATATTGACTGTAGCGTCTTACGACACATCTGACATTGGTTCAAATATAAGAATAAGAATAACTTTATTGATCCCTGAAGGGAAATTCAATTGTCTGTCATTTCAAAAGTCATCTAATATTTATAAAAGAGTTTTAAATTCTAATGGAAGTGGGTACAAAAGATCTTCTTAATCTTTCTGTCTTGCAGCGAAGAGAGAGAGGAGCCGTCCACCACCATTGGCCCTTTGGTCCATTAAGGTGTTGTGAAGTGGGTGATCCATGTTCTTAAGAATAGTCTCCTCTTTCCTTAGTATACATCTGTCCACCACATCCTCCAGTGAGTCCAACTTGAATCCAACCACAGAGCCAGCCTTTTTCACCAGTTTGTTCAGATGTCCTACATCTTTGTGTTTGATACTGTGTTTCATGACCCTGTAAATCACCAAAAAGCAGTGGAATTTTGACGTTCAACTCAAAATTGCTGTTTCCCTTCTGGGTTACAGATGTAAGGGGATTTTTTGAAGCCATGATGTAAGACAAGTGAAGCCCACACACTTAGCTCAGAAAAACATCCATGAACAGAAACTTTAGGAGGTGCTATGAATCAAGTTTGAACAAAGTCATACCTCATGAGTGTACAAAATTATTCATCTGAAGCATAGACCAAAATATAGCTAGTCCTATGACATCCTGTTGCACCAGGATGTCATAAGATCCTTTTGGTAATGCTGACTTTGATACCGTTGAGTCTAATATTCTATTTGCTATTCTGAGAGGGTTAGCTGGGATGCTAGCTGTTGTATTTGCCCTTCATACTTTGTCTGAAGTTTCCCAGGGGTGATTTATTTCCATTTCAACAAAACCTCTTTCTTGGGTAAAAATTATTCATCATCCATCATTCATACACTGAGATTATTCGCCTGTAGTATCTGATTTTGTTTCTTTACATAGATTATTTTTATTTATGTCGATTTTTCTTTTTAAGAAAACAATTTTATGCTTTTTGCTTTTATTTGACATGACAGCTCAAGAGACAGGGAGTGCAGGGAGAGAGTGGGGGACAAAATGCACCAGAAATCAGAACCTCATAACTAGCAAAAGAAGGACCCCACCCTTTCATATTAAACTGACGTAGACCTCTCAATAGGCATCCTCTCTTTGTATAACCTACTCCACTGCCTTCATATAGATAAGCTTTCTCGCTTAAAGCTGCAACAAAACAATAGGTCTTGTCCTTGCTACTGATCAGGCTTCTGATTCACACTGCTCAAATCAACGACTACCCAAAGAATAATAAATGTAATCTAATAGGACTGCAGATAACATTCTTTACACTCCCTATCAATCTGGCCCAATAAACTGAGAGCTCGAATCCTGCTGACCTTTTCATAGATCCTTCAGCGATAATGAAGAGAAGGGGGAAAACTTCAGAGGAATTCATGCCTCTATTAGTGGGGAGATCATCCAGCTCTCTGTTTGGAGGGTTCTTTCTGGTTTCTTTAGCCCTGTGGCCATAAAGGCTTTTCACAATAATGAATTTTCTCTCTGAACAGTTCTCCTTTCCAAACAGACTGAGGAATAAGTCCAAGTTTGGGATCCTCAATTTCAACATAAGCCTCCTCATTGATTCCACATAACCCAAATGCTGCTTTGACTAACCGCTCGCACAGTCACAGTTCATTTATAAGAGTCCCTTTAGAAAACATACCGTATGTGTGAAGTATGACTTGAACACATTTCAGATCAGAGCAAAGGTTTTCAGTGTGAGAATCAGTATCATTTCTAATTACACATTAATACGGAACATTTGTTCACAATTTGAAGTTGAATATTGAGTTTTCTGCGACAATTTGTAGATGAAATGCATCATGAAAGTATTAGTTAGTCAGTTAACCATTGAATTCTTTTTAAGTAGTTGGCTTTTTCTCCAACTTATTAAAACTAACAATAAAAAAATTAATTGACAAAAGCTCCACAGTTGCCTTTTCTAAAAGTTATGATCCAGACTATGACATGTTCAAGTGAAGTTTCTCCTTACATCTGATTCACTGATTTACTTTTAATGCTGACTTCAGACCATAAACTAAAACTTATTTAGCATCAGCAAGTGGTTGAACAAAAGAGGAACTGGTGAGTGAATCTTCCATGAAATTCTTGAGAAATCTGGACTTTTCTAATGCTCCAATTTGGAGCGTTTGATCAGCTCTACTACTTCAAATGAAATTTATGATCTGTACTAAAGGGTAAACATTTCTCGGGGGAAATCTATAAATATCTAAAATAAACCGGATGGTCATCCTTGCTCGTGTTCCTTCCTCTCATTTTGCAGGCGTTTCATGAAAGAGGTTAAGCTATGAAGTTTAAATGAAATTTTCAGAGTGTCACTCGTACCTTCAGGTGGTCCTGGTATGTGACGTTTTCCAGGGTCTTGTTCGAAGTGATTAATCTTTGCAGACTCTCCCAAGAGTCGAGACTTTTGCACTAAAGAAAAATAAAAGAGAATGTCATGGGCTGAATTTCACTTGGATTTTTCTGTATAAGTACAGCTGAAATGCCTCAAGTTTGGAAACAAAAGTACTATTTGATGGAAAAAGGAGAATAAATCAAGAACTGTGGCCGGTAAGAGCTTCAACTCACAACTGTACAACTCACACCCACAAACATCCGTCACTAGATTACATGACTGGAAAGCATGAGGCGTGTTTTTTCTTGTGGTGTGGGGTACCTGAGGGTTGCTGGCTTTGTCCTGCTGATAGTCAAGCTCCAGGATCCAGATGGAGGGAATGATACTGATAAGGAAAAGAAAGATGGGAGGCGAAAACCTGCAAGACAACCAAGACTGCTTGATTAATCTTTCATAAATACACATTTGGGAAAAAATGATGTAATAATAAACCAAATATTGACACAGCAAAAAATATTTGACAAAGCTGAAACTTGTCGGATATTGGCAAATAAATGACAGAAATGTTTAAAGATTACATAACCTCAGTATTATGTCTACACCCCGACAGAAAAATCTCTGCAATCAAAAGATAACTGACGCATTTTTAGGCAAAAGTGCAAAGAAATGCGGCCATTTTTTGTCTTGTTTTTCATTTTAGAGCAATAACTACCAGAATAAGAATCAGAATTTTTATTTTTCTGATATTTATCACTCTAAAACAAAAAAATGACTGAAAATATGTCATTTATCTTTTGACTGTTGCAGTCAGATTACCCAAACTATTTAACTTGGCCCAGAAATTGTGACTTTATATGTCTTTGACGTTTTTTAGTTTCCTTAGAGGCCAAACAATTGAATACGATTTGAAAAACATGTGTTTTAAATACAAACTTTGGAGAGGAAATTCATGGGTGGATGCTTTTCTCCAGAACAAAGCTGACATAATGTATTGCACTTATTTATATATTTATTTATTTATCAGTTTTGTATGTTGCATCAGTTTATTGGCTGAAACAGATCTATTACTTCTAAAAACCAGGCATGATTCAAGATCAGCGAAAGAAATTTGTGCAGGTCAGGAAATTCAAAAGCAAATGATTGTTTACAGATTAAAAAGCAGACATGAAGGAAGCAGTGGAGCCCCTAGAATAACAGTCCAGGGGTACCACCCCATCCTCACTGTCACAGGACTGAGTGAACAATAGCAGAGCAGGGACAGGCAGGATGTAGAGTATTTTAGGAGACGGGGGAAGGGATGATTGCATGCTTAATATATTAAGATCTATACAGAAGATAAAGGATGAAAAAAAACAGAAAGTTAGATCCCTTACACTTCAAATGTATGACATTAAGAGTAGCCTAACATGATCAGGGCACGAAACACTCACTTAAATATGCACATCATCTCACCATTTGTAGTCTTTTCCCTTTCTCCTCCTCAGTGTTATGATCATTTCAGCGACAAGCGGCAAAAAGAGGAAAGTCAGGAACCAGTAGTTGAGGTCTTTCTTCACATGTGTCACCCTCCAGACCCCTGTCAGAGACACCAGGATAAATAACGCTCTGGTTACTATTGCACATGTAAACTTACACATGCCCATCACGCTTGCCAGCATGTTGCAGGTCATTTTTATTTCTGCACTGCAGTTTCTTCCGAGGAAACTAACGTGGACGGTCTCCACAGTGAGAAAAAATCCGTGGGGTGTTGCTTTTTCGAACAAAGTCCCTAAACTTTAAGCCCCGCCCAGAACGACGGTCCTACTCGTCCCACTCTGCTCCACCTGACCTGGGATCAGTTTGCTGGGAATAACGGCGCTGCCTTATGGACCCAGTGGGCGGCACTTAGGTCTATGTCAAAGCAAGCTGTGACTGGTAGCCTACATTTTATATTCAATGAAAAAAATCAATTACAAGGTGCTCTGAGAGCGTACAGGAGAGGGCAGCAGCATCCCATCATGTTCACTTACCAGGAAAAACACTTCCTCTTCTGATGAGCAGGCTAACTCCAGGAAACTGTAATGTAAATCCACTGAGCCCTAAATGACGTACAATGAGTAAGATATGGACAGTTATACTTCTCTATTTTCCGGTGGCATAAAAATGTATTAAAGTCCAAATTAATAAACTAAAGAGAGACTGCAATGCAAAATTCAGTTCCATATTAAAATCTCCAAATAGAAATGATCAATCAGTGCTTCAATGTGGGGCCCTGTTTTGAGAGCTGACAATGTTTCTGTGTCTACTGTGTTATTTTATCATGAAATATCACTAGTTTGATAAAATAGAAATAGGGGAGATTGGGGTAAGTTGAGCCAAAGGGTAAGTTGAGCCACCCCCCTGCTTGGAAATGGTAAAAGTTCTATACTATCACACAAGTCATTGAACTTTCTATAACTGAAAGTGTTTACTCTAATGAGCTCATGAATTGGCTGTGCTGTGGACTGAACAGACTTGGGGAGTGGGGATAAGAAAAGACGGGGTTGTCTATTTAACATACAGCTAGTGATAGAGAACATAATGCGCATTACAAGGCTAAGACCACAGCAAACTAAAGTAAAATCCTTTTGATGTCATATCTTTCATGTCTTTCGTGTTTTGGTGTTCTGAAGCCAACCTATGAAGCAAAAAATATGTAAATGTACACTGCCTGGCCAGGAACATTTCTCATAAATCATCAGGATTTATCCAACAGAAAACCATCATTATGTAGTCCAATCACATATCTCATTATATCACTGTGGAGGAAATAACATGTCAGTCTAAACCCAGCCTGGTTTGAACACATACATACACACCAGTCATTTTTGCCCTACTTGGCTGCATGCAGAGTAGATATCTATTTAAATCAGTCCAGCCCTGCTGCCAGTGTAGGAGAGAGGAAACAGTAGAAGAAGGCCGTCAACCTCAGAAAAAAGGCAGACTTTTCCTGTCTTTGTTCCAAGTCTAATATCATGCCTCAGTCTGCACCATGTGAAATCACAATGAGAGTTTCAGACAACATGAAAAAGTCCAGAGAGTACTAGAGAGTATCCATAGACATACAGGGAAAGAAAGAGTAGTGTTATATCCTGCTTCAAAAAACATATTGCAAGCTGATTTTTTTTGGAACCACGGGTGTGTACTTGTGAAATTTGTCCCTGGTGTCTACCCTGTTTCCCGGTTTCCAAGCTCTTAAAGTCTGAGCATAAAAAGTGGCACTGCGACAAAAATCAAACCCATTCTAGTCAGGGGGTTTCCTCTTGACTAGAGCGACTTTATCTGCCAGATATTGAGACATATTCAGACAGCCAGACAGTCATAAAATAGAATAAATCTGCCTCTGTTGACGGGGACAGAAAGGCCGTCTCACATCAGACCCTCAGTCTTGTGTTGCCCAGTGATTCTGTGGGAAAGGGTGCTGTTCAAGACTCAGCTCTGGGCTGTGTGATGATGGGATGGCCGAGGGGCTCTGGTCACCGATCACAGAACAGTGATTCCCTCTGTGCTGCTGCTTCAATCAGCACTGCTACAAAGCTCACATAGAACCGCTCTGTCTGCTGAGTCAGCACAAAAATATGGTCTTTGTGATGTGGAAAAGAATAAAGAAAACCGGCGAAGAAATAATCTGCATCAGCAGCAGGATAGATGTTTGAAATCTTGCAGGTTATAACTGCCTTACCACTACAAAGACTGGTGACTTAAAAGAAAGAGAACTGGATCCCTTCAAGCAGAACTTAAGTTTCCGTTTGTTTCTTCAAATGAACAAACCAACACCCAAGCTATATTCTTATACATTGAAACATGGCAAAAATAGTTCTTGGACCGAACGCTCACCAAAATAAAACAATGAAATGACATCACTGGACTTTTTTTTGGACATATGATGCTCTATTTCCAGTTCTCTCACCTCGTCACTGTGTGCTGTGATTAAGGGTGACATATGCAGAAAAAAGTAGGCTGTAAGGAAAAAAAAGGGAACAGACCAGTAACATTTGGCTAAAAAAGCGTGCTACTATGGAATGAAGTTAAATGCGATGATTATATTCACATCCTCTCAGGTATAATGGAATATTTTGTGGCAAATTTTCATCATATTCACAAAAACCTGTCATGTCTGTCTGATCTTATTTTCAACAGTTGGACGTATCAAACTTGTACATCAGCAGCATAAAAGCTCCTTACATTGTGTTTACATATGGAGTGTATTTTTCTAGTTTTATTGCCTTTATTTCTAATAAGTTATTGTTCTGTGTACAGACCATAGACTGTATATACTTGTATACTATTTGTATATACTTCTTTATACAGTCTATGGTACAGACCCAATTCCAAAAAGTTAAAACCCCGAATAAAATGAAGTAAAAACAGATTTTGCTAATACTTTCAACCTTTTAATCAACTGAAAATGATCGGTAACACTTATAAATGGTAAACAGACCATTTATAAATGGTAAGCAAATAGTTTATTAATGCTTAATCATCATTTATAAATAGCATATAGACCATTAATAAATTGTTAATTTTACCATTTTAAAAACCTAACCCTAACCCTAACTTTACAATAACTAAGTAATGTTTATAGGTGGTTTATAAACCACTTATTAATCATTTACAAAGTATTACAAACATCAGGTGCAACTTTACAATAACCATCTAAGTAATGTTTATAGATGGTTTAAAAACCAAATATTTGCCATTTACAAAGTGCTACTGACACACATTTAAATCTGGATGTTTAACAACCAATATTTAAACTCTATATTAACCTTTAATAAATAGTCCATGAATAATCAATGAAAATTATTAATTATAATTTCATTGCATGGTAAAGTAACTATTCGCTTACATTAATAAACTATCTATTTACCATTTATAAATTATGGTTATTGTAAAGTGTTACCAAGTGAACTTAACAGGATCAAAGATTTGCAGTGAAATTTCAGGCATGAAAGGACCAGTGAAGTTTAGCAGCATCTAGTGGTGAGTTTTCAGATTGCAATTAACTAACAATACTTCACACCACGTACCTAAATCAATGGTGGTTTGGTTCTTGATTAAAAAAACATACATACATACATACATACATACATACATACATACATACATACATACATACATACATACATACATACATACGTGCATTTTCAATTTTTCCACATCTGCCTATAGTGAACTCCTAAATCTGATGCACTAGTCCTCTGAAATACATATCATACCTGGCATCTTCATGAGCACTAGAAACCTTTTAGTTTAAATTACCAGCAACTCTTGGAAGTTTATTGTATGTTTTGAAAAGTCACCATTCATGAGTATTTATTACCAGTTTGTCACAAACAGCACAATCTCTCTGAAGGCTTGCTAAGTCTGCCATTATGTTTTATTACAAATGACTTCCTGTAATCTTGTGTCATGAGCAGCTCCCTGTTATTACTATTGCTAACCACTAGGTGGCGCTTAAAACCACAGTTTCTACATGCTACAGAGCAGCTTTGAGAGTTACCTTTTATTAGTCAGCCTGACATTTATGATTCCCAAACCATTTAGCAGCACGCTATGTGAAAACAAGAGGGAGCAACTGAAGAGATGCTACTAAAGTTAGCAGCCACTGGTCCTTGTTTGTGTTGTGATTTATTTTTAGCTTTAAAAAAATGTTTTCACTCTGAGTGTGGAGTATATAACTCACATTTTCCAAAAGAGGCCTCCATTTAAGGAGAAATCCTTGAGTCTGACCCTGCTTTGTTTATTCATTTCATTTCATGGCAGCTCTGCCTGCTTGCAAGCATGTCAGAAACAACATAAGTGGATGACTCTTAGTGGATACAAACTTCCTTTAAACAGTCCAGGTCGTAGGTGAAGCAGGTGGCTGAATGGTTACACGGCCCTGGCCTTGATTCTCTCTCCTTGTTTTAAAAGAGCCTTCTTAACTCAGGGCCCTGCGGAGTCCCACATGTCAGGCATTTGCATGGAAGAAATTGGGCTTAAATGGGTAACACATGACTCATTCTGTCTCAGCCTCGACAGCTGCAACAAGCCAAGCACTTATTGGACAAATATGATTCGCCTCAGAGCAGAGCGAGTCTTCAAAAGCTTTTCCAATGTGGAATCTTTGACGTAAGACCAAAAATTAAGAGATATTGAAGGGGATTTGGTGTGAAACATATTGCGTTACACTCAGGCAATATCATGAGTATTCATTTTCCTTTTACTAGCTGGATTTTATTTCCTGACCTCAACCTGACAACTGTTATGAATTCTGCATTAGCAATCAAAACAAAGGACTATTATGCAGTGCGGTGCTGGCCCCCAGTTACCACTTGGCTCATATTGCCTGTACAGTAAACAGCCCACAGATGTTTTACATTGATATTAAGAACCTTAATTTGTCCTGTGTAGAAAAAGGCCAAGCATAGCACTGGGATTAAGCTCTCAGCCATGTATCACACACACAGCACAGACAGCAATCTCATTTAGCCTGAGTGAAGTTTACAGTGAGTGGGTTTTGCATAGGTCATTAGTTGTCTCAAAATACCCCCCTGTCACCATAGCAACTTCAAGTGACTGCTAAATTGCCTTATAAAATGTGATAAATTATTAATGCTGAGAGTTTTTTCCTTTTAATATGTGTGCTCAGGCTCCCAGCCCTGAACAAAATACTGTATTTTTTCCCAACACTGCTGTAATGGAACAATGCAGCAATTGTCTGTCATATTTCAAAACCAACCCATTGTCTCCTCTTTTCAACAGGCTGATTGCTATGCTCCTGATTTGCAGATACATCACAGGGATTTCACAGATTACAGCAGCATTGCATTCACAGCAACTGAAGGAGTCATCTAAATAAAATATCTTGTGACAAATCTAGAAATCTGGCTGCGTTGTAATTGCCCATGCACATGCTGTTATTTGATGTATCTATAATGCAGGACTCTGAGCCGAGATGGGAGGGTGTCATGCTCCAGTGAATAATCTGATCATAGATGTCTGCTGACATTTATGCTCGTTTTACAACAAT